AAAAGCTGCTCGTTTTCTATCGAGGAAACGCCGGATAAGAGTGATGATAGAATCTCATATTTCGTCGCGAGTGACCATCAAAGCCAAACGACATCAAATGTTTTTTTTTTACCTGTGGAATGTTGCCTGTCCGCTGTAGAATGACCCAGACAGCATGGATGTTGGACCTATGGCGTCAAGTCACTTTTGTGGTTCTTGCCTTCAGAAAACACCCGTACAGTGTTTATATGTCTGTATGCAATTTCAGGGGTGAGAACGAACAGCCCGTTTCGTTAATCCACTGCTGGATGAGAGTCTCCCCAAGCCGTTGTCGTCTTCTCTCACAAACCATAACCCGTTAAATCGTCTTCTATCACAAACCATAACCCGGTAAATTATCTTCTCTCACAAACCATAACTCGTTAAATCGTCTTCTCTCACAAACCATAACCCGTTCAATCGTCTTCTCTCACAAACCATAACCCGTTCAATCGTCTTCTATCACAAAGCATAACCCGTTCAATCGTCTTCTCTCACAAACCATAACCCGTTAAATCGTCTTCTCTCACAAACCATAACCCGTTAAATCGTCTTCTCTCACAAACCATAACCCGTTAAATCGTCTTCTCTCACAAACCATAACCCGTCCAATCATCTTCTCTCACAAACCATAACCCGTTCAATCGTCTTCTCTCACAAACCATAACCCGTTAAATTATCTTCTCTCACAATCCATAATCCGTTAAATCGTCTTCTCTCACAAACCATAACTCGTTAAATTATCTTCTCTCACAAACCATAACCCGTTCAATCGTCTTCTCTCACAAACCATAACCCGTTAAATCGTCTTCTCTCACAAACCATAACCCGCTAAATTATCTTCTCTCACAATCCATAATCCGTTAAATCGTCTTCTCTCACAAACCATAATCCGTTCAATCGTCTTCTATCACAATCCATAATCCGTTAAATCGTCTTCTCTCACAATCCATAACCCGTTAAATCGTCTTCTCTCACAAACCATAACCCGTTAAATCGTCTTCTCTCACAAACCATAATCCGTTCAATCGTCTTCTCTCACAAACCATAATCCGTTAAATCGTCTTCTCTCACAAACCATAACCAGTTCAATCGTCTTCTCTCACAATCCATGATCCACGAGCTACTGACTTGGTTCCCCCATGCCCCCCCCTCCCCATCTCCTCCTGAGTATCCACTCAGACGCGTTCCTTTTCTTCTCCATCGACAAGTTGCTGCGTTGTGCGCGAGTTTGCAGCTACTGGGTGGCGATGGCTCTGGGATGCCTTCATCCAGCAGGAGTGGATAGATCATGGGTGGTGATAATTCCATGTTTGATTTATAACCAGTCTGGAATCCTGATCTGGGGGGTCAACTCTGCCCATGGTCCCCTGTGGTCAATAAAATAACAACCACTTTGTTTTGGCGGTCAACGGGTACACACCCCCACACACACTGCTAACTGCTGCCAGGGTCATGTTTGGATTCCACCCCTGGCTCCGAGCCATCGACAGACGTTAGAGCCACCTTTGATCAGAGACCGCCACTTGACATTTCAGCAGCCCCATTAGCATGGCCTTATTTGAAAGGGGCGGTTCTTACAACAACAAGAACAAAAAACGTTTAGTCTGAATATATAAAAACATGTTAAACGCCAAATAGAGTGAGCAACGACGCGACCTGCTTGTGTATATCGTACATTATTCTCTGTCTCTCATCCCCCACGCGCATGAGGAATGGAATGCGACGCCCGTCACTTGGTTGGACTCATGTTAGGTATTTTGTACACACCCCCCCCCCCCTCCAGATATGACACAAAGTTTATAAGAATAGGTTTTACCCTTTCTGGCAATAAAACAGTTTGTGTTCAGATGTTAAAACACCAAACAGAAACCTTTTGCAAGGAATAATGTCTACATTAACCGCATATACTTGTGGTGAACGTGCAAACAAAAACATGCTCTGGTAGTATATGCGCCTGTTTTATTGCCAGGAAGGGTAAAACCTATTCTTATATTTTGATACTGGCAAGGGAGGTCCCATGATGTAGCTGCTCACCCCGAGCTCTCAATGCCCTGATAGTGGCATTGTCTTTGTGCTGTTCGCCTTTTGGCGTCCTCTGGTCTAACACCGTTTGAGACTAGGCTCTAAAGAAAGCTGTCTCTGGTGTGGACCAATCAGTTTCAAAGACAATGCATTACATACTACCAGAGCATGTTTTTTGTTTGCATTTTCACCACAAGTATATGCGGTTAATGCCAACATGATTCATTGCAAAAAGGTTTCCGATTGGTGTTTTTACATCTTAACACAACTGTTTTATTGCCAGAAAGGGTGAAACCTATTCTTACATTTTGATACTGGCAACGGGGGTCTGATGATGACACGGAGTTGTTTGATGAAATGGAAGCTTGCGAGTTACAGCAAGGGGAGATGCCCCTTCAGCACGGGAGACGTTGGACTGGGGTGGGTGGAGAGGAAATCACCCCCCTGGGGATGCATTCAAGTCTGGAGGGGGCTCTTGTGCATCTGGTATGGCAGTGTTAATGTGGATTTTATCCTAGTGACGCGGACCCTTCACTGCTCTCTAGTGGCCCCTGTGGAGAAGACAGACACATTCCTTCAAACAGAAAGGCGAATTCGAGCTTGATTACTCTACAGAATGCAGGGAGAAAAAATATATATAATTTCCATCCCCAAGAGTGCCCTTGGATGGGAGGTCATGGGCGGGGTATGTTGACGTCATCAGCAACATCGGCCATGGTCACGCTGGGCGTGGCTAATGGTGGGTTTCCTGCCTTCACGACGCACAATGTGTTGGAGGGGTGCGAGTTATCGATAAAAAATAAAGTGGTGCGTTATAATGTTCAGTCTAAGAATCGACCCATCATCCCAGCTATAAGTCTTATACCGTCGACTCTGAATGATTTGATACAATCGGGGAGGGGTGGCATCAATAAAACAAAAAAACATGGACAATGAAAAACATTGTTGGATATGTCACCTGTTTACTGCGTCCATCTGTAGAATACGAGTGGGGATGTAGCATGCATCATCTGTTTCTATTGCTTCTTAAAGTAATCCGTGTTCTTGCGGACATGTTTTCAGACATGGGCAAGGATGGATAATCCACAACCCGGATAATTGAACGTTCACCATTTGCAATGATAATTCCACATTTCAAGAGATATCGGATTACTGGGAGAGGGTGCTGGAAGATTATTAAGTTTCACAGATTACAATTGGAAAAGAACCCCTTAGAAAGGATACTGGGAAACAATTATTTGTAATATGAGCGGCTTGGAGGCCTCCGAGAGCCGACCTCTCTGTAAGAGAATGCTAGAATCACTAGGAGGGAGCCGAGCTCTCTGGGAGAGAGTGCTTTGATCCGTGGGATAAATCTGGGATCCCTGGTAGAGAGTGCTTGGATGACTGGGAGAGTCGAGTTCTCTGGGAAAGTGCTTTGATCACTGGGAGCGAGTGCTTTTGATCACGAGGAGAAAGTGCTGGATCACTGGGAGAAAGCTGGTATCCCTGGGAAAGTACTTGGACCACTGGCAGAGACTGCATGGATAACTGGGAGACGTGCGTGCCGGGACGACTCAGTTGAGAGCTCAAGGGTCCTGAAGTCAAGAGTGCAGTGGAGGAACGTGGCCATCAGGAGCGAGACAACTGCCCTGCACTGCTTGACGCCAAGTAAGCGCCCAGTCAAATGATAATGAACGATTCAATGATGGCTATGCTCGTGGTTTTTTTTTACATTAATTTCAGTGTAACGTCGTTCTTGAGGAAATACGGATGACAATCTCGTACAAAGACGGGCTTCGTCTCCAGCTGTGAGCTGGCACTTACAGATGGCTGTGGATTAAACGTCGCTAAAGTGAGATCATATATTCATGAAACTATGCTTGTGGGTACCAGCACAGCAGAGCTGGTCTAGAGGGGTACACGTGAACAATGGGAGGCCACCAGAGACTACGCCACACATGGATATCAGAATATACAATTATAAAATTAGCGATTACTGTTTTCAATGTATTTCTGAATTAAAGCTACATCTGAAAAAATAATCTTTGATCTGACCACATGTCAATGCGAATATTTATTTGAAAGATGGGGCGTATTCTGAACACAATTGATCGCGATGAACACGTCATAATTTGTTGGTGGAATGGCTAAGCAGTTCAAGGCAAGAATACAGAATGTATCAATCAAGGTGGAGAGAAGTCAGCAGGGTGGTGTGACAGAGGTTCCTATCTGACCGGTTGTGACCTATGGAGCAGAATGCTGGAGAACAAGACGGATGGAAGAGCAAATTCTGAACTCCGCAGAGTTAGGAATGCCGAGGTGCAGGACGTATCAGGAAGAGACATCAGAAACGAGACCATAAAGTGCAGCGGTTCCCATATACAGAGAAGATGCTGGAGGATCTCGTCTGCAGATGGTTTGTACATGTGGAGAGAAAATATTGCGATTGCCTCGGTGAGGGAGTAGAGAACATGGAGTTAAGAGGGGGGGGGGGGGGGGGGGAAGGCCAAAATCACAAAAAGCAGTTCTAAATAAACGAGCATTCAATCTAGATTGAAAAGTGCATAGCACCAGTGGCTTCCGAATATCGGAAGAGCGTTCCAGACGGTTGGAGAAGCGCATCCGAAGGTGCGCGACGCGGTGACCGTCATTGTTCCATGGCAAGCCAAAAGCTGCTGCCAGGATGACCGGAGTTCGCCTGATGGTTTCTGCTTCGAGATTAACTGGTCGTACAGATTTGAAGCTTTCGTGACTGCAGGAATCCACACTCGTTGGTTCTTTCGGTAAAGTGACGTGATTTTACCGAAAGAACCAAAGAGTATGTCATACAGAGTACAGTATATTTACAGTACTTATTTGTAAAAGGAGTTGTCATGTAACAAATAATCACGGCATCAATTGCAGTGGCGGAGGAGAGCGGCGTCATATTTGATGCATTAGACGCAATACAAAAACACAACACGAATATTGCGATGTACATGGCGTTTGAATATATTTATTTCAATACAACATTTTCACGTAAATCCACCTCAACAGGAACATGGAAACGATGGCCCGCTGTACATGGGAGGAAAAATAACATCAAACAATAATTGATGACCTTCAGTACTTAAAAAAAAACGTTTCGGCGTTCTCTGACCACCGGATCAATTTCGACCAATGCCAACACGAAGGCATCAATACAAAGCACAACATTCTCTTCGTGAATTGATATACACACAAATACACCGGCTCACATTTCACACACGCGCGCACACACAGGGCTTCCAATTGCAGGTAGGGGAAAACAATTCCGTTTATTAGGAAAAGACGTTTGTTCTTGTCATTCGCCACATTCTCAAAATATGTATCAAATGATAAAGGTGGTGGAATTGCCTTGGTTTTAATTAGATAATAATTTTTAGGGGGTAGAATTACTGTTCATCAATTAAAGTTCATTTCAACTTTTACTCGTATAAATAAATTATCGTACTTGACCAACAATGCAAATTGGAAACCCAGTAATGATTATAACAAGTCACATTATAAAACAAACACCATTTTTCTTTACTAAAAGAGGAAAATTAAAACACACTAGCTAAATTAAACAGCACTGACCATTCCGATTGAGTTCAGTTGAAAGTTCGTAAGTACGTGGTAATTTAAGACCTTCCAACAGTAACTTTCACTTGGCATACGGTACATCGCAGGCCTGTGCAAAGGGAGAATAACACTTTTTTAATTAAATAAAACATGTCCTAAGTTGTCACAATAATTAACATGCGGCACAATTAACAAATCAGGCCTGCATTATGATCCGAAAATTCTATGCAACTTGCCATCGACTCAAAACGTACATGTGAAAAGAAATGTAAGCATGGGCATTTTGATAATTAATCATTGAAATCATCTGGCGTGTTTAACCAACGAATCGCCATACATTGATGTGTCATTTAGTCACACGCGCGCACACAAAGTACGATTATCCAGTTAACCCACCAGATGTTAATTCGTCATCATTTACAATCACAACTATACACACACACACAAACTACAATCGACAGACTTTCAATCAATCTCCATCATTGCATTTGCCCTGCATTTCCAAAGCTAAAATCCCACGCTGCAGTAAACTCTTTGGGATCAGCAAATTCTGACCCGTTCCTTCAGACCCGAGGACACCGGACTTGTGAAGCCGACGGCTTCCGTGCAGTCACTGCGACTTCACGCCAGGGGCTCAAACAGGGCGGCACTGCGCTGCTCGGCCACAACGGGAGGGTTTGCAAATTGGCGTTTCGGGTGCCTGTGATTTGTCAATCGCAACGAGAAGCGCTCTGCAGAGCTTCGACTTGCATCAGTCCCAGACACCCCTGTGCCTCAATGTTGCATTTTCGTGTCTCGATTCCACTGTGGTAGGTCTCGCGTCATCCGGCTTGTTGGCTCTCCGAGCCCAATAACTTTCAATGAGGCATGCACCAATTCACCCCGCTAGTTATTTCACAATGTCACGATTTGGGACCACGATTCAAGAATATATTACTGTTTAACGCTGTGGTGAATGTAGCACATCTGGGTGCCTGCAGGGGTCACGGAAATCCGTTAAAAACATATCGTGGCCAAAATGTTTTGTTGTTGTAGTTTTCCACAATTTCACGAGATTAAATATTTCATTCAGAACCCATCGCAGAGCTGTGCAACTCTCCAGCTTAGGGAATAGTCCCGAGAAGCAGATATCAGATCTACTTTTGAGATCCATTCAAGTGACCTCATCCACACTCGGGGGGCAGCACTCTCGATTCACCCCACTGCTGCAGTGTGACCTTTGTCACGTGACAAACTGTTTAATTCGCAGAGTGGGAACTTTGAAAAATTCATCATTGGCGCGGACCCTTCACTCACCAGCCTTGGGGATGCAGCAAGTGAAATCACAGGTGGCTGAAACGCACATTCAAACCCAGCATCTCGGCGATGCCAGCTCGGCACTCAGATTTCCGAACCACCTCCTCCCGGTTGTGTAACGGATGGCGGAGGGTGCTGCCGTAAATGGGCGATGTTTCCACTCCCGTGGCAGCAGCGCTTTGACGGCAACCGATTACTTTCCGAGCACGAGCGCTCACTCGGCGCCCAAATGTGCGCCAGGTCGTCACAACCCCCAGTCTCGCGCGCCTTGCGCACGGAACGCCTCGGGGAAACAGATCGTCGGGTCTTCATTGGAGCACGAAACCACTCCGGGCTGCAGCAAAGACAGCACTCGCGGTGTTGGAGCAAACCAGCTCCCCACCACCACCACCACCCCACCCTCCCGAGCTACAGCTCTGTTTGCGGATTCATATAAAGAGTCCAACACAAAAATTGGGACCATTTTGCTACGAATTGTTTACGGATGAGATGGACACGTATGTAGGATTGACAGCAACAGGGAAAATGAAAAGTGTGTTAGGGGGGAAAATGGAAGGAATCTGAAAGAGAGAAAGACCTAACAGAGAATGGCTTGACAGCAACATAGGAGATTGGTGCCAGAAAGATGTGGCACTACTTGAGCATATTGGCACAAGACAGAGGAAAGTGGAAACAATGACGAAATATGCAGTGGGCATCTACGGGCTATCTGCCCGTGGATGTGATGATGTTTACAGATCTGTATAAAGAGTATCACAACATTGGGACCATTAAATCAGAAATAAGCGTTTTGAACTTTATGCTCAAAGCTTAAATTACTATCAGGAATAAAAACATGCCACACGGTTTATACACATGTACTGGACAGGGATATTTGCAACAAAACAAGTACATAAATAAGACACAAACAATCGGATGGAGAACATTTGGCTATAGCATTAAGAGTCTGTACAAGATGATTGGAGGCCACATGAAGGTTGTGGAATTTGGGCCGGATCTTCACAAAGTGGCAAAAGTGGAAATGAACACAAATTTTTAAACAGTGAGGGCATGGACCCTTGTAGTCCACAAGGACAGTGTTCATAATTATTGTTGTCCAACCAGACATAAGAGGTATGTCTTGTGCTCTGCAAAAGTGATTGCTACGTTTGTTCATGTGCTGAAAACACATGTCTGCTTTTAACGTAAAAAAGATGCACTTACGAAAGGATTAAATATCACTTTCTTGGCGCAGTACAATGCTGTACTGTATCTCCACGTGAACGTAGTTGTCATTGTTAATAAAGGCAAACTACCCAGATAAACCTTCATATCAACTCAGCAGCTTATGGAAATAATAGCAAGGGGCCAGCACTGTCGCCTCATTCGGTGCAGGGAGCGCAGAAGAATGTCAAAATTCACACTTAACACCACGAAACAGGAAGAAACTATGAATAATCACATCGAGGGTGGTCACGTGCAGAGGTCATACGGAAGGGACGCGGTGACAAACAAAGGCCACCCCTCGCCCCCCCCACTCTCCCTGCACATGCTACGAAGAATGCCAGATACGCGCGTTGAAATTAAGGCAGTGGTCTTCACTCGGGCCGACAGCCCAGCCGCGGAAAGGTTGGGCGCCTTTTACAACCAATGCAGAAAAACAAGCGCATGTTCGGATGTAAACAACTCGTATATATAAAAAAAAAATACCGTGAACCTTATTCCCAGTTGCTCTATCTCCAAAATGACTCTTAAAAGTTTTTCGTTGTTTAAAAAGCGGTGCAAGTTAGCAATGCTGTGCGCACATCTGTTGGCACTGCCCGAAAGGTTCTGGATGATCCCTGTCTGGGTGACCAGCTCGGTTGAGGCCATGTGTTTAGGCCGAGCAGATGCAAGTATGGGGGACCACGTGGCCGCGCGCCACGGGGGACACCACACCGAAGTGAGAAGACGGCACCGCGAGTGGCGTCGTCGGCGGCGGCGGCGGCTACGCGACGCTGCGGGTGCCCGACGGAGAAGCGCCGGTCGAGGGCCCGGCGAGCGCCGCTTCAGAAGAGGATCGGCTTGTTGGCCGTACGCTCCTTGACGTACTGCGTGAAGCGCTTGAGGAACTTGGGGTACTCCCTCTTGGCGACCGCGCGGAGAACCGAGGCCGGCGCCCACCCGCCAGGATTCACTGCCAACGGGAGAGGCACACGATTAACCACCGCACAGTCGTGTCACATTTCCGCATCGTCTCTTAACGATGGCATTCGCCGCGGAGACTAAAATAAACAATTAAACTATTTTTAATTTTACCATGTCAGGCCAACTGGAGTATGTATGGCTCTTTTTCAGACGCGACGTGGCCACAAATGATTGCTCAATGCCGAAGTGGATTCTCGCGTGGAGATTTACGGCAGCCAAATACTATCACCGCGAGGACCGAAGAAAAATCCACGCGACCACGGGGAGAATATGCAAACTCCAACTATACAGCAGGCGTCATGGTCGTGATCGAACCCACGACCTCCTGCATACCAGGTGAGGTAGTTAACATCGCCACCACGGCGCGATAATGTTGAGTGGCAAGAGCAGTGGTTTCTCCACTGCCCTGGGAAGCCGGTGACATTGCTTTAATTCCAAGCCATGATTTATATCAGTGGCGAGTGAAAGCTGATCTGAACTTGGGCATCCCTCCCCCAGAGGGAGGAGAATGGTGAAGTGGGGGGGGGGAGATCCCGGTGTCATCCGAGCGAAGTCTTAGGGTGTGGCACTGCCGAAGAAGCATGTGTTTAGACTATATAGATTATTTTGCTGCTAGAAAATGTCCAAATAATAAGCCACTTCGTTTAGCTATCATTTGTGGCCAGGTCGCTTTCGAAAAGTAAGTTCATACCTCGGTGGGTTTCGTCTGGTAGGATGGGGATGGTTAAGTTTTATTGGTTGTGTTTGGGTGATTTACCTTTCCTCTACTTTGTACTGCTATCGTGTTTTTGCACTGTTTGTTGCAGTAACGTTCTTACCCGTCCCGACTGGACATCTGTGAAGAAGAGCTTTATAGCTCATCGGATTCCTCCAGTATAAAAAATTCTGAGAAGCCCCTGCAACCAACCCACCCATAATGGACACAGCAAGCGGAGCTTTTGGCAAAGGGCTGTATATATATATTTTTTATCATTACAACATACCGTTGGCCTCCTATCAACTAAATGTGAAGTAATGTGCACGGGCTGAATTCTCACCGTTTGCCACATACGTGATCCGGCACAGCAAGTTGTCCCGCTGGATGTTCTGGTTGCCGTCCGGGGGGCTCACCAATGTTTGGCAGATGAGTGCCACGTTTATCTTGGCTCGCACGTAGCGATTCGTAACCTGCATCCACAGTGATACAAAGCAAAGGCACACCCCTTCGCTCGCGCAAATTCACAAGCCGCAAGCGAATTTGCCTCGCAATGCGAGTCACGCACTCCATACAACACCAATTGGATATGTATGCATGTATAACATCTTTCGCACCGTACGTAGCCAACCGCACGAATCGGAGGTGCAGGGGAAGGATAACAAACTAAACACAAAGCATCATCACGATCCATGCGCAGATAGCCTGCAGGTGTCCACTGCACATTTTATATATTTTTTTCCCCACTTTCCTCTGTCTTATGCCAATATGCTCAAGTAGTGCCACATCTTTCTGGCATCAATCTTTTTTGATGTCGTCGTTAAGCGATATTCTGTTAGATCTTTCTCGCTTTCCAGTTCCTTCCTTTTTTCCCCCCGAACACAATTAATTCTCGTGTTGCTGTTCATCCGACACATATTTTGGATATGCATGGTGCCTACATGAGTTGCACAGCTAATAGTAGGCATAAATATGTTGTCGAGAGAGGGAGAGAGAGGACAGTCGTAGTCAGAGAAACAAACAAGGACGCTATTGAGCCTAGACTTGAGCAGGGAGCCAACAGCATCTATTTCTGGATGGGAGTTCCACAATTAGAAGAGCAGCAGAGGAGAATGAATGACCTCCCAACTCATTGTGAGATGACAGGGAGGCATCTATAGCAAGCCTTGGCTACTGGAGTGGAAAGTGCACGCAGGGGATTAAAGGCAGGTTCCAGTGTTGTAACAATTCACATTGCCACAAATCCTCCATGTCTCAGTTTTACCACCTTGTTCATGTTGTCTTCTGTCTAATATGTAACGTTTCGTTCGCTCGCTAGCCTAAATGTAACATTAGCGTATCTATTTTTTTGATCGTCGGTCTTCACATGGTGGTAACGATGAGGCAGCATGAACGTCTTCCCCTCCTTCCTTGCTCCGTCATCGCTTGCCATCGATGTACGTTGGTCTCTCTCAAGTCCTTTCTGCCATTAATCCACCTAACATAAGCATAGCAGTATAACACGTAGGATTTCGCGACCGCTATCATCCATAACACAATCCGAGTATGGCAAAACATCGTACTCAGATTGTAAATGTTGTGGATTTACTTCCCGACACACCAGTGCGCTGTACTAGTAACGAATTGGCACGTTCTGTTTGTGACAAACCTTACTAGTTGGCAGTATCGGATGGTGGCGGGATTAACGACACGTTTATATTTATGCGATCTAACCCAAATAAACATGTATTATGGATTAGCATTGTACTTTGCACATCATATGTATAAATAGCAATACACTCTACACACACGGCGCACGTATCGTGAACGCAATAATCACAAATAATCAAGGAATCGATGCATCGTTACATGCTTAATTAATCCACAAAAGGAGAAATTGTGGACGAATACATTTGCGTGTTTTGGTTCTTTGTAAGATCGGCATTTCAACAGAAATTATTCAAGCAAGCGCCTGAATCCCCTGATGGGGACACTATGTTGAAAACGGTCCAGAGTTTGCTCGTCTTAAATCAATGCTGTTGAAATGATCGACTCTGAGAAGGCTGCGAGGCCGATGGGTTGTGCAAGACCTTATATACGAAGGAGACGTGTTGTATGTGTGGAGAACTTCTTTCATACCGTACGTAGCCAACCTTGTTAATTGACAATCCTAAAAACAAGCAGTTCTAAAGAAATTAGTTTTCAATCTAGACTTAAGACTGCATATTTGACTGCTTATTTATTTTGAAATGGAGGGAGGATGAGGGAGGAGGGATGAGGGAGGATGAAGGAGGAGGAGGATGAAGAGGAGAGGGATGAAGATGATGGAGGAGAGCAACCCGTACCGGCACATCAGCATGGTCCACTGAGAAATTGCACACCACCCACGTGTCCGGGTCATTCTCACTGGTGGCTCGGACCTTCTTCCAACTCGACACGTACAGGATGTCGCGCTGAGAGGCCGGCCACACCGTCTAAAAATCGGGCAATGATCAGAATTAGCATCTTGATTTAGACTGGAGGAATCCGATGAGTGGAAAGATTAGCAAGTTACTACAACATTATAGGAATGCAACATCGAGAAAGAGGTAAGCAAGTGACTAAATATAAATAAATCAAGTAATAGGTCTGGTTTTTTTTTACATCACATGCAAGCTTAGGCAAGACAGAAAAAACAACAAAGAGAGTCCCAGGCGACACCCAAGACAACAGTCCCTCAATAAAACGGCGCATTAAAATTGAACAACGGCCATCACCCAGCACTTTAATGGCCTGAGCAGCGAGGGCAATCGCGCTGCAAATTTTTTTCAAGAGATCAACAATCAACCTCCCAACACTCCACAGGGATCACCGATGGAACTCCTCACACCCCCGGCCTGCTGTACCTTGTGCGTCTGGTAAACGATGACTTCGTTCTCCGACAGAGTTTCCACCAGACGCACCATCTCCACCGTGCCTGCAAGACAAGGCGACACACAACGCCACACCCAGCAGCGACGTGATGCAGGGCCACGGCAAGCAGATTCTACAGGAATACTGTGACCGTTCCGTGAATACAATCTTTGAAACAAGATAAAAACTCCACAATTTTCTACAATGTACTCACACACACCTCTATTTTCTATTACCAAATCACTTGGAATGTGTGGCCAATATCATCAGATTTCAAAAGCTAAACAAGGCTGTGCCTGGATAGTCCTTGGATGGGTAACCACCATAGATAGGTTTCTTTCGGCTGCTGCAGCACCACATGACGGGCAGCAGACGGCAGCGTTGCAAAAATCCATTATAGTACCGAACATAACGCTCCCACATCTATGCTCCCCTCGTTCACCAACCATCGGTGCTCAGCGTGAAGCACGGTCAAGAGACCCCCACGGCAGGCATGGCGGGCGGTGCATGGGGAGAGCCCTCATCCAGCAGCGGATTGACGAAAGGGTGCTGCGGTGCGTCCACTCACTCTCCCATTCAGTGCGGTGGTCCACTTTCCAGAAGTAGTGGCAGATTTCGCGGCCCGTAACGCCCCGCACGGCGTGCGTGGCCTTCAGCGGGTCCAGCACAATCCCGTTCTCCTCCAGCTCCCGTCGGTAAACCTTGGGGAGCACGAGATACGCCGTTTGATTTCAGGCAATGCCCCCCCCCCCCCCAACACGCCCCCCCCGCCACCCCCAAGAAAAGTCAACCATCTGACGGGACCCGGTGTAGGACAGCGATGGCGAGAGAAGCGGCGGTCACCTTCATGTCGCCCTCCTCCACGAGGAGTTGCCAGTTGGCATCGCCGCCGACGTCCTGCAGCGAGTATTGCATGTGGTTCTTGATGGACTCCTCCACCTGCGGGGGGCATAAGGGCACAGGAGGCGACATGCTATCAATGTCGTTTGACCCATGCTAGACGGGACGCTCAACAAAGTGTATGGTTTTGTCAGTTCCGTGTCGCTCTTTCATTCCACTTATAGCAGTTAACTAGTTGCCTAGACCAGCATTGTGCTACCTGTTAAGTGGACACTGAATAGAAGTGCATTTGTCTATACTTTATTACACATGGACTTCATTGCGTTTATAAATGTATTAGTGTGCAAACTCAACTTACCCTTTAATAAATGCCACAGAAACCCCAAGACCCCCGACTTAAGGCTTACTGCACAAACCCTTCAGGAATATGGCCAAGGTCTTGTGCGTTTCAAGGTTATTACACTCAAGAACAATGGGAGGGAGACAATAAATATCTCATCCAGACCCAACCATCGCACCCCCTGGATTAGATCTGCCTCAAAAGCAATGGCACTCGCTGTCTCCTACCAACACCCCCGAATAACCCGTAGCACCCATGTCAGATGCACCCCTACCAACACACCCCCCCCCCTACCCAACCTATTCAAGTGGAAAATCAGAGGAAGCACGGTGACATGTGACTGTAGAAATCCTGGCCGGACCATGAACGACATTGTGAATTATCATGCCGCTCATAAATTCAGCAGAGGCATTCATTGCTCAGCCCACCCCAGAGGTTGGTTATCAGCCCTGGATATGGACTTAGTTTGTATACAATGCCATACACAAGCAGAAGTGTGCAACTATTTGCAAAACGGAAGCAACATCGTTGTATGTTGAACTTATTTCGCACCGCAAGTAGCCAACCGTGCTATTTGCAAAACAGAAGCAACATAGCCCGCTTTGTTAAAAGTTGCAGTTTCATTTCATCTTTAGTTCCCCGGCAACGTCTAATGGTGTTGCGAGCTTCAAGTGAGTCACACTTCACGCGGTCCACTTCTCCAAGATGACGGCACACAACCAACAGCGCTACAGAATGCCACTTTTAATGAGCACTTCCAGTAAATGGAGATCTAACAGAAGACAGCTGCTAAGGGGGAAGTGAAAAAAGCAACCGCGAGTTGAACACACGTGGCCCGTACTGAAAACGGCATCATTTACCAAACAAAGGTCGCAACAGAGGTAGGACAGCCGATTAAGTAACCAATTACTCCACCCATGATCGGCTTGATTACTTAATTAAAGTCGGACAATACAAAAACAGTGGGAACAAAAAAAATTATCACTTCCGTTACCCCGCGTCTCACTGGGCGGGAGGTGATGGGTGGGGTAATCGGCATCATCGGCCACGTCGAGTTGTGTGTGGGTTGTGTGGGGGGGGGTTTCCTGCCTTCAGGAGAGAGGATATGGAGGGCGGCCACCATTTTTAAAAAGCCACCCGAGCGATCGATCACATGGAAAGTAGCCCATTAGAATTTTTGGGTCAAAGAATCGACTACTCGTCCCAGCTCTTAACACGCCAGTTAAGAACATACATGGAGGTGGTCTGCGCGGCTGGTTGTGACCGTCTGCGTGAAATTTGGGGATGTGGCGGGGTGGGGCGGGGTGAGGCGCGGGGCGGGGGGCGGAGCGCGGGGTTGGGCGGGGTGGGGAACGCGGGGTGGGGCAGGTGGGGCTGGGTGGTGGCGCGGGTGGCATGGGGCGCGAGGTGGGAGGTGGGGCGGGGCAGGGAGGGGGGCAGGGAGGGGGGCTGGGCGCTACCTGCTGGGAGAAGCGGTGCACGCGGATGCTGAGCGTGTCGGGCACCAGGTCAGGACACAGCGAGACTCCCCGCATTCGCTCCAGCTGCTGCAAAACGCGACGTGCACAAGGGGGAACCCCCGCACACCGTTTGTTAATACGGTGCGACTTTGAGCCGACGATCTATCCGTCGTCCTTGCGTCCGTGAACACTTTTGGTTCAGGTACAAAAAAAAAGATAAACCAAACGTGTTGAGAACCCACCTCATGATCAGCATTAACTAACTGCATGACCAAAACCAAAACCAACAGTATATTAGCAGTCATAACACCTCAAAGTATCTGGGTCATGGCGAGCTTTGTGCAATGCAGCAAAAATAGATTATTATACTGTACTTCCAAAGCTTCCACTCCGATGCTTTCCGCCTTTCAACCCGCACGGCCAAGTATGGTTAACCAACCGATATGGCATGTGAATGGCCCTCATCCGCAAGTGAAATGACAAAGTGTGCCGTTATAGATGCAAGATAGATAGGTCCAGTTGCTGTGGCGAGATGAAGCCGGACTTCACCTGCTCTTCCATCTTCTCGTGCCGGTCGAGTGCAGCCTCCACGGCATCGAAGAACTCCTCTTCGTTCATAAGGCTGTTGGGCCCTTCCTGCCGGTCAAACGAGCACCGCGCGCAAAAGCCAATTAATGGCAAGCCTGAGGAAAAGCACCCTCCTACCCAGTAGCGCATGACGCTGCAGTGTGAACCAGGCTACACAGAAAACAAGGAAAAAATATGGGTGTGTACCTTAAGGTGCCATTCATTATTAAATAATTACAATGCCCACTTACTAAAAGATACCCCGTTATTTCTGTACAGGGTTTTGCCCGTGCAGTCACCACTAGATGCTATGTAAATCCTAAATTCTTACTGTGCCGTGCACCGAGACAACAGCTTGAACTATGCAGTTGAATGGTGGGGTTTAACATGAAAGGTAACGCGTGTGTTACTTCATTGGCAACGGTGAACAAGCACAAACAAAATCTCATGGCAATTAGTGTACGTAGCCACCCGTACATAGCACGGTTGGCGACGTAGGGTGCAAAATAAGTTCAACGCAAGCATACAAACGTGTTATTTGACGAATGTATGGAGTGTTTTGGGAAGATACAGCTGCATGCCAACAAAAACAAAGCTTAGGTGATCTTTAACAGAACATAACGTAAATAATCATAAGACGGCCCAGATGTGTGCAAACAGTTGGGGCCCTCTCAAATCTCGACGCAGTGGGTGGCGCCAAACCACAGCGCATGTGTGGATGCTTAGAGGGATGAAACGGGTATGATAAACATCTGTATACTACCAAGTGCATTATTGTGGAAATCATTTTAGACCGAAGTTTGAATAGACTGCAAGTGTATAAAACTGCTGTCTAATTATAATGCTTTCATAATGGACGATATATTTATTGACAATCCTGTAAACTGCACGTAAATCGATCGCAACTTTAATGCTCTCGCACACATGTTTCAGGGAAACGCGTCACGTTAAAAAATGCATCAGTTCATAAAATAACACACGCACACGAGCCAGTGTAAACGAGCAAATAATTGCTTTAACCGATGCACGATATGAATTAGTGTCGAATGTTCTCTCCCATCTGCTGTGACAGCGACCCCACCTCGTAGTCTGGGCCCCCAATGTACGACTTCTTCTTGAGCTCCTCCAAGGCGTTCTTGTAGGCCTCCTCCACCTTTTTCCTCTTTTCTTGTTCCTACAACAACACCGCGGCGGCATACCTGCATCGTGACTGTGCCATCTTGCAACACTCACGCGTGGGTGAAACATGTGACATTGCAGTCAACTTACTCATAACCAGCCACACGTTGACCATGCCTACTACGACCCAGTGTGCAATGCACCCACCATACAGCTAAAATTAGTAAAGGCACAGCCATGCAATTGCTTGCTCATGCCACTGCTGGCGAAGGGACTAAACCCAAAAGAGCTCAAGACAGCATCTCGAGAGCCACCTCATGGGTATTTTGCCTACTCTTCCACGCTGCCGAAACATCTTGACAGTGGCGGGAGTACTCACACTTTATCCCACCGCACGTGACCCACCCATCGACCAATTATACTGTTATCTAGACAGAGGTGGGGGAATTAAGGAACTTGGCCAATGTGTCAACTGACATGCCACGAGATGGAATCGGCGACCTTTGGATGGCAAGTCCAGCGTGCCAACCGTTACACAACAGGCAGCACATCTGTACAAGGGAACCGTTCTTTTTTGGAGTAATTTTTAGCAAGAGCTTCACTGGGCATTATCTGTGCTACAACTGTGCTGTGCAGCAGAACACAATATGGAGAAGCACGTGCGGACTCCCCCGTCGCCAACGCTTGTAACTTATAAGCGCTTCCTTGGAAACTATTACAGACGCCGAAATGCTCTCAAGGTTTATCTTCGCTTTTTATCCGAGTTTTCTCAGTCTGTTTCTGCACCGCTGCCAAACCCTTTTTTTTTCTAAGTGCGCCGACGGGGGAGCTGGTAGGGAAAGAAAACAAAATCTTTGCACATTGGGGCCAGACATCTGGACGCGCCCCGTTAAAACGCGCGAGGCCACGCGTTGATAAAAGCGGGCAAGCAGAGGCCTCATCTCTCCCTGGCTCTCTGTGCCCACTGCAAGCTTTACACAGCCAGCCAGAAACCGTGGGTCAATGAAAGCACGTGCACCGTAGCGTGTAAAGAAACCTCAACGCATGTTTGTTTTTTTACATTTTTGTATGTTTTTTCAAAAATTTTATCCTGATTGTACTACTATTGCCTCCGTGTCGTGAGATAACGTATCCAATTGAATCTCTCGCAGAGCAATGGAAAGTACGCCGTGTTGCAGAACAGCACGTGCAAGCAAATATCCCAGAGCTATCTCTTCCTTTCCCCTCGCCTCCACCAGTCCTTTTAAGTGCTGAGCTGGCAACACTGAGATCCCAGATTTGAATCAAGGCTTAGCACTCTGGACCTCTGAGCCACCTGGCAGCCTTGCTAAATAGAAAAGGTTGAAGGCAGGAGGAATGCCAAAAAAGTGGCGTATCTAAAAAAAAACATTTAAGACAAATTAAGCAACTGCGTTATGGGTGGTGCACAAGCACAAATTGTGTAAAACCAAATTAATTATTTTTTGTTCCTGGGTACTAAGTGTTATTTCCTAATTGCTTATGCCTCAAAAGTACAGAAAATGGCTATTATTCCCCACAAACTTTGCTTTTGTGACCAGGACAGTGATGTTTAAATTTACCTATTTTCAATGAGAAAACGGGCAAATTTGCGTCTTTTCACTCACACAGTCAGAAAAAAAAACCACATTAATCCAAATTAACATGTATTTTCCCCATTGACAGGGTATTGAACGAGAACAAGCCCGCAATTAGGCAAGTAAGCTGATGCAGACAAAATAATGCATTCAGAATATAGATCATCATTAAGCGGTGGTGAAGGTGGAGAGCGTGAATGTGGTCACATAGGACAGCACAATGGATTTCGCAGCACTGCCCTCTGCTACCCACCACGTAGCCACGCAGCTGCTTATGACACCCCGTTTGTGCATGGTGGTCACTCATCCAAGCGCTTATCCAGGCAAAAAAACCCCGCTTAGCTTGCAATATCTGACAACATCAGGCATATTCCAAATGATTTGGCCAAAGGCAGTGTTCAGATTTAACATAATTTACCGTACTGGTCCAGGAGCATAACGAGATTGTGCAACCCAAGCAATCTGCGATTATCACTCAACCCATTTCCTGCTCATTTTGCATCAAGTGTCATTGCATTATAATGGCCATTATTTTACACGCGATATATATACACACACACACACGTCAATTCAGAATAAGGTGCCAGATATTCTTTTAATTTGACTCCAGCAAGCTCGTGAGACCAATGTACAACACAATGCCGCATACCTGACTGGCTGGGGACTGCTCTATAGGCGGATGTGAAAATGCGAGGCATCAACATCTATAGAAAATGACAGTTACACCTTACATGGTGTCTCTGTCATTCTCCATCTCACTGGATAAAAATTTATTGCGAACGGCTTCCAACATCGAGAAAAGCTTCACTACACTTTGGAAGCGAGCAAAAATGTACGCGAGACTAAGAATGCATGACTGAACGTGAAATGGTCAGAATTGTGAACATCCACAGCAAGTGACGGCAACAGCATCGCGCGCTAACACTGCACTTGGCTGCGGGCGGTTAAATCAGTCGGGACACGTACGTGACGGTCGGAAACGTGACGTTCTGTATATTCTCGAAACTGAATCGAACATCCGGGGGGAGGTGGGGGCGGGAAACACTTGTAAACTTCCAGAGCTGTTTGCCACATATTTTCACACGCAAAGGTTATGACCGTGCAGGTTTAAGGTCCGTCGTCACGCGCAGCACAGCTGCTCCCCGACCTCAGGCTGGACGGACGTTCCAGCTCGGCAGCATGTATCGAACGATGAGTCCGAGCTGGAAGTGCCTTTACTTAGCTAGAAGTGGTGCATGGGGGATTCCCAGTTGCCTGCAAGGGATGCCCATTACCCGTTCCAGCCGCTTCTGCCAGCTCTCCTCGCGCTTGGCCATCAGATCGATGCAGTGCGACAGCGTGGCCAGGATCCCGGCTGTCGTGGCCTTGAAAGTAATTGCTTCTCCCTTGAAGTCGATCCAGCTTATGTCCTTGGGCATGAAGAGCTGCAGGACTGGCAGTGGGGGGAAAAAAAAATATTTTCACGAATTTCATCAAGAGTATCGCATAAAAGAAACAAAGTAAAGAAAACGCTTTATGTTATAAACTCTTGACCTCACTGATGCATAAAAGATTACATTCATTCCTCAAACACTTCCAAACTTATCACCAACTCTGAGATAATTCACGAAGCGTGACAGATATTTCATCAGTAATAATATTAACCTTGTGTCCTTTCTACAATTATTTTCCAGTTGTTCAACAAACTTGATTTAATGCGACTTGAGCCCAACCTGGCTCTCTCTGGGCTTGGGGAGGCCTTTATTCAACAGTGGACTGATCATAGGTGATGACTTAACCTTCACCAGTCAAAGTGTTTGAATATATTGAGTGCAATTTTATTCTTGAGTATGGTTATATGTCCAGGAATTAAATGGATGTCGGGGTTTGTGAGCTTCGGGAGAGAATGTAAATTTTGCAATGCCCCCTCTCCGTTGCACACAAACTACAGAGGGTTTACTATAGTCCATAGTTTGGGTTGCATGGCCACAATCGTGCAATTGAGTGCAATATAGCACTGTCATGGCAGGCGCAACCCAAAGGCCACGTGCAAAGCTCAAGACTCACGTTTGTCCTTGGTGTTGCTCGAGAAGAAGTGATCCTCGCAGGGCCGGGGCGTTGGGAAGCCGTCATCGTCCTCGTCCAGACCTAGTTGGGGAAAGCAGGCAAACATTCGGAGTTAGCCACGCAAACGAGACACTTAACGCATATGCACGGCAACAACATCTCAAAGCAGTAAACAATGCCCACAACCAAAATCACCCAGGGAAGTGCCCTGTTTCGTCAGATCTTGGAAGCTAAACAGGCCGGAGCCTGGACAGTGTTTGAATGGGTGACCACGATGCATACAAAAGGTGATATGGGCTGCTGCAGGGCTACATTGAGCGCAGGAGAGTGCAGCACAATCCATTGTTGTACTGTGTTGCGTTCCCCACCATCACTCAACCTATACGGAGCAGGGTGGAAGTATGGCGAGGTCAACTGCAAGAACCATATGGCAGGGGATTTATAAAGATAAAATTTATCCAGAAAGGCCTCATTGAGACTCAAAGAGTGATGGAATTTGCACAGAGATGTTCGACTAATTCAGAATACAGGAATATTTAGCATGTCAAAGGAAACCAGAGTACCCAGAGAAAGCCGCCACGTATACAAAGGAAATCACGGATGGGTTAAAAGTCCCATTTGCCCTCCTACCATCAACTGGCCACCTAGAATTTCATAGGGTATGAAAATTTCACGAATCTGCATGCGATCCACAAACCCTTGCCTCTAAAGTGCCAGAGCAAAAAGCCCACAACCTACCACGTCACCACTCACAGACAGGAGTGTGCACTGTGAAATAGCCAGTCAAAGGGTCAAATGACGTGGCATGGAGGCTGGATGGTGGATGCTTCTTATCTGCTGACTCTGTTGTATTTCTTGGTTAATATTTGCATTTGCTGACTGTGTGATCTGGCCAAGACAGGGTCTCTTCTCGACTCCCCTTTTGGCCACAGTATTACAAGACAAGACTTGGCTGTGAAAAAAAATAAAAAATAAATCCCCTGCTAAACGCTTGCTGCTGTACAAATCACATGGCACCAAATAATTTCTTTTTCACAACAATCTTTTGTGGCACATGCTCCCAGGGGCTGTGACCCCCCCCTCAACTATAGAAAATCCTTGGATTTGATTGTGTAAGCCTCAAGGGAATTTCACTTTCCACCAATCTCGTCAGCAACTGGGTGACACAGAGGTCACAGGTAATCTCCGTTTTATCCGGAATTGAATGTAGCTCCTCTAAGTAAGGCCACGTCTTGTTTTGTGTCTGCCACCTACGAATATGACAGGGAAAACGAAAAAAAAGACAATTGCCACATAGACGCTTCAGTTGAACACCCCCTCCCCCCCCCCCCCGTGGTACGAGAGCACTTAAAATAGAGTACTTTGGAATGGGCTTGGCCTGCAGAAAAAGGAGCATATTCGCAAAACAGGCCATCACAAGGTTTAGGTAACGATACATATTTCATCCACACAGGTGGCTGGGTGGCTCAGATGTCAAATTACTAAACTGGCACCACCGAGGGCCTGGGTTCAAATCTAGGCAGAAAACCTACAGGTTGTCAAGTGTAGGGAGTTGATAGCTAGTCTTAGCCTGGGCGGTCACCAATGACTGAACACAAAAAAACAAAGGCATTCAATTTGGTTTTGAACTCAATCTGGCTAAATTCCCAATCTGAGAATAAAATTATCGGTGTGACCGTCAAGAGATGTACATACCTCTCATATGGCACAGCAGGTGGGAATGTCTTGCCCTATACTGTGTGGATCAGAGGTTGCTTTGAAGGGATCTCTGAAGTAGCTCTGCCTCCATGGGTCAATTCTCAAATACGAAGGGCTGCACTGCTGTGAGAGATCCAAAGGGACTCGTCTGCTGACATGATGCCGAAAGCACAATTGGAATAATGGAAAAGAATCACCAACGTTATAAAAATATATATATAAAATCCATACATTCCGCCCAGTATTGCCTTGAGCCACCGTCTCATTCAGCCTGTCACAAATGCGTAAAGTCTGTGGCTTTTGCTCACTGCGTTTCCGTCACAGCCGCTGATGTAGAAGAATGACATTGAAGGAAAGAGTGAAAGTTTGACCGAAGCAACAAAGCTAGTGAATGACAAAGATAGGGAGAGTTCATTGAGCCACATTGCCAATCTTGAGCTGACAGGAGGGGAAGGGAAAAAAAGAAGAGCAAAATGACACACGCTGGCAAGTGTCACCTCTGTCTCGGCTCAGCTCGTCCTTTGACACCGCATCCGCGCAGACGTCAAAGTACTTCTGGAGCGTGTCCACTTGCCGGCAGAGGATGTCCCGGAAGGTCTCCATTTCCGCAAGTTTCTCCCGCAGCCCCAGCCCCTTCTGAGAATTGATCAAACAAAACACGTGCGGCCCACGAAGTTCCAGGTGTTGTCGCAGCATTTGGTCGATACCAATGTGCAGTTACCCGATGGCGCAATCGTCAGGATGACGGACCTCACATCGTCATTTTGCCTGCAGTCGAGAAATACGAACGTCGGAATTGCCAGCAACGGTGGGGGGCTCTCACCTTGAAGGAGGAGGTGGATGTAGTTGAGAAACCACTCGCCCCGGAAGTGAGTGACAGCATGGAGCCGTGACGCCGTAGGCTGGACTCGGATCCATACCCCGATTCTGTCTGCAGCTGTAAACCATACAGACAAAGGACTCGCCCTATAGACATATATACCATTGGTGTATGTGCTGTTAGCGTACACCTATTAAGGCTATCACAGCACACGACGGGATGGCATGGCCAGCACAATACCTGACCGCCAGTCTCCGCAGTGGCAAAGTTTAAACACTGAACCAGATGCTCATTTAAGGCTCAGTTGAACCAGGAACAAGTTCTGATACCACTCGCCACACACGAGCCATGGTCAGGAGTTTAAGTCAAGTAAATGGGTACCGAGGGTAGTGCACAGACCACTGCACCATCACTTTGTGCATGTACATAGCAACATTCTCATGTGCAAACACACTCGCATCCAGTGTCCCACGAGAATGCATCTTACAGATCTCCCACGGTCTAATGAGCCAAAACAAAGATGTGCACAAGCGCAGCCCCCTCGGTTAATCTTGTGGGAAAGTGCTCAAGGCTTGTGGGAAAATTGAGATGCAGTCTTGCACTACTGGACAACTCAAATATAGGCCAACACTCTACGAGCCAACACAAAACACAGCAGTCATTGCGAACTCGTACAGTGAGCTGGGCACACCCACTACGTAATCTCATGAAGCACAAGTCAATTCACTCAACCTCCTGCACTTCAAAACAAATTTGGCCCAAGCTGTAAGCCAACTCATGAGCGAGTCTTTCCACGTTTTTTTGTCTTCTGTTTACATTACCAAGGCCCTCAACATGCATACCATGTGGTGATCCCAACAGCAAGGATGGCTGGTGGGGGGGGGGAGAAGAGGATAGCTCCAGATTTAAGGGACATTTTAGAGAACATTTAATCATTTATTTTGTTAACGAGTTTTAATATTTTATTCTATTTTAATATAATGCGTTGTGTATAATTCATTGGGTTGATGTTCTGTGAAGCTGACGAGACGCTGTCATCTTGCAAGGATCCCTTTTGGAAATAATATCTCAATCTCTTGAACTGGGTCTTAGCATGGTTAAATAAAGATTAATATTAATGTCACCGAGTGAAATGACAAGCATATGCAGTACAATCTAAATATTTATTTATACTGGAGGAATCCGATGAGCTATAAAGATATTTTTCACAGATGTCCATTTGGGGTGGGTAGCAGAACGTTACAACAAACTAAATAAAAACGATAGGAGTGCAAAGTATAGGAAAGGTTAACAAAATCACGCAAAAAAAACCTAACCTATTTTTATTTTACCAGGTAAAGCCCACTAAGCCATTAGCTTATTTTTTCAGAAGCGACCTGGCCACAAATGATAGCTCAACTAATTGGCTTATCACGTGGAAACTTAGGGCAGACAATCTAAAACACACGTTTCGATCACTGCGTGCACGTTCTCGGAGCCAAAGTGCAGCCCGAGACTTCTGCTCGCCATTTTCCATTTCCAGTGATAGGGCCCCAGGTGATTCCTCGCCAACCCCCTGACCTTTGTTTCTACTCATTCCCATGCAGTCCCACAAGAGGAATCATCGTCTTTAGCACCAGCAGTGCCCAGCCTCACGGCAGGAAATGAGCCAGGAAGGAAAGGGGGTAAACTAAGTCGCTGGGTTGTGCGAGCTGGAAAGCCACGAAGAGAACGCAAAGGCATGTGGGAACAATACAGCGGTTTAAAAAATGTATTTGCATAAAGGAACAACTTCAAACGATGCGCATCCTGGGTGATCGTGTTTATCACTTGTGTGTTCGCACTTACGCATCGGTCAGCCGCCACCGCTGTAAACTAGCGCTGCACAGCTGTGAATTACGATCGTCTCGTGATGCAGCCTCACGAGTTGGGAGCTTATGAGAAGCGCTGTTTTGTTTTGAAATCGTTACGTAATCATTATTATTTATTTTCGATGACCAGACTCCCCCCCCCTCCCTACTTACATATCACGTCCTGGCAAGGGCCATTAAATAAACAATGGACAGGATTCCAGTTAAGCAAGCTTTCAGCAGCTGCACGTCACAAACGGTTTCAGAGTTTGACAAGCTGCCTTCCCCGAGTGTCCCATTATCAACCACCCGGCCCCGTTTGTAATGAGTCATTGACCACTTAGAAGTGGAGTGCTGGGCAGAAAACGCTCCATTAAAACATCCTCCTCACAGCATATCCATTACAGGAGCCTCGTAGTGGCCACTGAACTAAATGGCTTCTGCATGCTTAAACATTCTACTGTCATCTTTTGGTTTGGACAATGATATGTGGGTCATAGTTATCAGCATGGCTGATAATGATGATTACGAATGGTGTGTAGACTAGATATTAACTGGATAACAGCTTTGAAAATAGAATCAGGTCAGCAGGCCACGGACTGTACATTTTCTCGATTAATACTTTATTTTTAGAAAAATAACTGAAATGAACAAAGAATGCCTAAAATGCCACCCTACCAAACAACATCAAGTGTTTCAGATGCTGTAAAACTAGCCTTGCAGCGATTAATCTATCATCACTATTGATTATTATGCTCGGTAAGCACATATACAATGACGTGCAAGTATCTATTATTCACAAGTTATGCAATATTATAAAAAAATATTACAATTGGCAAGCCTATAAGGCTGTACAAATGAGATAGATCAAATGAGAAACAATACAGACGAGAAGGCACAAAATTAGAGAGGCTATCAACTCGCTGCACTTGAGATGTCACTTTAATAATGGGTGGCTTAAATTTCAGATTCAAACTCAGGATCTCAGCTGTGCCAGCTCCGTGCTTTGACACTATTTACCAGGCATAATGCAAAAAAATGATTCCTACACTCAAGGACACACGCTTCAAATTGCGCATGTTAAATATGGAATAGCTGAAACTCAGGCGATGATATACTCATGTTACATTTTGGCTCATGGAGCAAACAAAACTGAAAAAGGCAAAACAGCCTAAATAACCAAAACACCACGAACAAGGCAGCCAAACCTGGGCAAAAAAAACGCCATTCCTGAATCAAAACAAGATCCTAAACGGTGACAATTCCTCGAATCGCAGGCAGGGTTAATCTGTACACTTGGTAAAACGCGGTTGAATAACCAGCGAGAGCCAGCCTGCTGCATAAGCAAGCACTTGTTGGAAGTCATGGACGTGCCGCCAGTGCATTCATCAGAATTACGAAGGCGAGTGTGAAATTGCGCTTGCGCCGCACGCGCCATCACACGTAGCCAACATGTGACGCGCGTCCAACAATCGTCCCGTCCACAGCATGAAAGCCAGCAACACTGCTCAATCTTGAGCGGAATGCAACGGGGGCGCCCTGACAGACGGGCACGTGGGAGGGGGTACGGAGGGAGGGCCTGGCGGGGTGTGTGGGAGGGAGGCAGAAAACGTCGTCGGGATAATGGATGTTCACGGGTGTGGCAGAAACAGGAACCGCCATAGAGTGCTCACAACTGGCGTCAAACCAAAACCACCTCGATTAAGGAAATTGACTGGCGTGAAATACCGCACACAGTTGACTGACCCCCAGGATGTCAAGCTGTGTGAATGTAAAGATATTTGTTTACCTTTTTTATATCCCTGTCTTGCATCCAGCCATTTATCTGCCTGCAGTCATGTTTATCAGTGTTTTTTTTACCCGAAGCAATCCGCGATGGTGTATGTCATATGCAACCGGAATGTTAAATCGAGTGACCCGCATGCATACGGATTAGTAGTTTGGCTGAGAAGGCATATTAGTCAGCCTGTTTTCCTTCCTCCATGCACACTCATCGTTTAGGAATGTAATCCCTGGTTGAGTAACCCCCCCACACCCCACGTGACCAATGTGATAAAATCTGTGTGTTCTCTCTATTGCTTACCTAGCCCGATTGTCAACAGTAAAAACAAGCATGACGCTTTATAGGTAGACACTGCTGAACTCGCATACCTGGGTTTACAGCAGTATCATCACTCTGCACAATTTCAATATTGCTCCATAATTTGCAAGAGTAACCTTTACCCCAGAAAGACAACACGCTTTGAGTCTTCTTTTTCTGACAGCCGTCTTTCGTCACTATGGGGTCGGTCAAGATAACATGATTTTAGCGATAAGCAAGTATTATTGAGATGGACATTATTGAAATCAGAGTAAAAAGTATTGGCATCACGTATGCAAACGGTGACCAAGAAATTCTGTTGAAGCCACCAATCAACCTCCTTTCAATGGGAGGTCGCTCCTTCTCCACAGCTGCACTCAGCAGTCATAGGGGCCCTGCCCAAGTCTACGATTAAGACCTTCCTTATTTTTTCCCTCCGCCCACGACCGACTATAAAATGCATGCATGAGACCACTGTTTGCGTACGTTGTCTTGAGATTGCGGTCACATTTAGATGGTATATAAATTAAAAATGGATTTGTATTGGCACCGATACACTGGCGCAGCCCAGCGACACGCATCTGGTAGGGAGGAGCGTGTACAAGTGTAACCTCCGGAAGGCAAGCGGGCTTTGTTCGTGGTCCAATTTGCACAGCCAATCCCTCCGGGATCGTGCCTTGTGTACGAGCAGCAGGTCTGCTTTATTGAAATGTGCGAAGACAACACTACCGAAGCTTAAGTGTGCAGTCTCTCTCAGTGCCGCGGCATGAACACCGTGGCCCATTGCACCGCGTTTTCATTTTCCACCATGCGAGGACACGGGTGACCGAAACTCAAGATTGGAACCCAGGATCTCAGCAGTCCAGGCTCGGAGCACTATTAGAAGGCAAGGGATGCATCAATTCATAGATTGAAATGTATTCTTACAACCATGATACATGGATGGATTCGTGTTTGTCAAAATAAAATAACTGTTACAACGTTACAAACAATAGTTTCTTAAATCTCATCGGAAACCTGAATGTGAAATTCATTGTCTTCCGGTGGGGTGAATCAACGATTCATAATATACTTCGCTACTTTTCATATTAATATATCAACGTCACATTTAATCTCATGGACCAAACAAGACAGAACTAACCAGAAACAATACAAACGAGAAAGCAAAAACAGTACAAGAATCGTAACTTCAAATTATGGCAATTCATCGAACTGCCGTGAGGCAAATCGTTAGTGGAGTGCCTTCTATTTGGCCCTCTTGAGCCACCCCGGTCCACCTTTTGTGCATCTATAGACGTCGATGAATTGCGGCCTCACCTTGTGATGTTCCAGAGCCTCCACCCACATTTGCCGGTGCTGAGGGTCTTCCGCACGGAAATACCACACGCTGTCGTTGACCGAGATGTCAAAGCGGCACTCGTCAAACTCGTGGGGCTGCAAGACAAGACACGACCAGAGCGCACATATTCAAGCAAAAGTGTCCGCCACCCCACCCCCCCCCCCCTTCTATTAACCTTGCAACCCGAGTTTGATCCACGGCCAAGGCTATCAGTGTCAGGAGTGGTATCTGAACGGATCCTAGCCACCAATCCACAGTGACCAGCATGGCATGGGGAGGCCTTCATCCGGTATTAGATTGACAAAGCGCTTAACGGTAAACGAAAACACATTTACACTGAAAAATTCTTCTCCATGATTGCAGTTCTTGTCGTGCAATTAAATTAATCTTTAATTCAAATTATTACTGAAAGTCGGTTACAGAGTGCAATGAAACGATTTTAATATAAACCCGTGGTAATTCAAAATGTGCTTTTTATGAGACCCAGTTATTTTTACAACAACGTATTAAACGTTGCCAGAAATATACGGATGTGCCACAGTGAGTCACTGGCACGGGGGTTCTTGGCATCCAGCGGGACGTGCTCGATGGCACACAGGGACGCAGGCACCACCGGGAGCTCCGCCGCCCCCACCAACGGCGCTGAGTCATGTCCCTCGTAACCCGTGGTTCGAATGTGACCGTACCGTCACGTAAGTTCCAGATCATTGCAATGACTGTTTTGCTAAATTCCTAAATCGAAAGTTAAGCAAGAACGTCGAGGCGCGGTGCTTGGAATTACACGCGCGAGAGACAGGAAGACCAACGCGTGGATTAAAAAATAACAAATACAAGTGTGAGCCATCGCATTGATGGGTCAGAAAAGTAAGTGGGCTTTGGTGGGACACGTAGCTGGAAGGGATGATGGCCGGTGGTCGAGGTAAACGACGGAACGACGGAACGGCAGCCAGAGGAAGGAACACGCGAGAGTTGGTGCCCACCGCGGACACGGAGCAATGAAATCAGTGTGTGCAGCAACTAGATGAAATGTTGTGCTGTGCAAGGCCAAGAAACAAGATAGTCATGGCTTGGGGAAGCCTTCATCCAACAGTAAATGGAGGTCTGAAGATAAAAAAAATTGTAAGGACATCAATCTCGTTGTAAATATTTGAATAACACATCGAATCCTGAAAGTAAACCGAGGAGATGAATGCATGCCTTTGTGGAATTTTCATTGAGGCCTAACAAGACACCTTTAAAATTGTAAACAGCACTGCATGTGTATAGACTCGTGTTTAATATATGTGCATGATGAAATTCAAACACGATACAAACTTCTGGTAAATGGCATTCACAAAAATAAGGTGATTCACAGTATCGGCAAAGGAGTAAGGAATTAATTAACGTGTCAGCCTGACGTCTCAGAAACAAGATCAATGACTGGTTTGCAAACAAGCATAGGAGACGTGACGTGTGGTTCAGAGAAAAAAATTATAACAAAAATCAATAAGCTGCAGGCAACATCACATGTACGTGTCCAACAGCTAACACATGGAAGTTATCAGGCCGCTAACAGAGTCTACCAAATCACACATTAATGGTGTATTCTCACTTTACTGCAACTTACCAAATTTATCCGTAATGTGGAAAAACATGGGGCGCCCGAGACACATTATATTTACTGTGCTTTTGCACCTTAATGAAACAGTTGGATTAAGCGATAATGCTCAGGATTTGTAGCACATGCCATAGGATTTACTAAAAAAAAAACATCGCCAACGAGATCTGGAATTCATCACACATTTGTCACAAGAGGTTTAGAAGCAGTGTTCGCCTCTCCACATAAATCCACAAATGATCATTTGAAACTAGAGCTGGAACAAGTGAGAGACGACAAATTGTAACAGATTGCTTGGGCACATTTAAAAATGATAGAGGAGCCCCGACAGGCTGTCTGCCAAAGGTGGAAAACCCCCCAAGCTGCAGCCAGGGTGGCACGGCAGATGACGCCAATGACGTCACCAAGGTCCGACCATCACCTCCCAGCCAGTGGCACAAGTGGGAAGATAGGAAGACTTCCCCCTCCCCCAACTATTTTTTTTTCTTTTTCCGATTAGGTGATTAGGAATGGAACCGATAATCGGAAGAGTTTGACATCTAAAATAATCGGACAAGCGAGTGTTATTTGAAACATTATCGGGCTCCAACAAGAAGCAGCAGCCACAATGCCGTGGAGAGAGTCGAGAGTTGTTTGGAGGGGTCGCTGGGACATTTATCCTGGCGACTTAAACATTATCGGCAACTGTCAAACTAGCAACGCTCCTCAGACGGATTGGACTGCTGTATGCTGGCATCATGGCCAGTGTTAGGGTTAACTTAATTTTCTTCTGGAAGTTCACGTGACTTAAAAACACAGAAGGCATTTTCATAAACGAGATGCGCAAGTCACATGTGACAGCAGCGCCTTGTACAATATGAACTCAACAATTGTAAACTGCCTCTTTTTTATAAAGATGGGATACACATGTTGGTGATCTGCAGCAAAGCAGGAAATTGTTTCAGAATCTGAATACGTATTTATACTGGAGGAATCCAATGAGGTATAAATCTATTTTTCACAGACGTTCAGTAAGGGCGGGTCAGAATGTTACAACAATAGAAAATTGCCAAGTATAGGAAAGGTAAAACAACAAAAAAATCACACAAAAATAGATAAAACTAAACTATTTTTTTTATCTTACCAGGTCAAGCCCACTGAGCTATTAGCTTCTTTTTTCAAAAGCGAAATGGCGACAAATGATAACACAACGAAATGGCTTATCATTTGGGTGGGTGCGGAGTCGAAATGTTGGCAGTTGGGTGGGTGGCAGTGGTTGGTACACTGCACTAAGAACCCGGCCACCCAAGTTCGATAGCCAGTCACGTCTTACATAAAAAGACAGCCCTGCGTGTCACCCTTCAATCTACACTAGACTGTGTAATAAACTACGGTCTAACAATCCTCCCCTGCACTAACACACGGTGGGGGAGGCCTTCATCCAGGTGTGGATATACAAAACAAATGTATATACAAAGGCAGAAATGGATTTAATTACTACTCATCACATGATTTATGCATTTGACCCACACACAATTAAGGCTTCTGTACAATGAGCACATTTCTCATTCATCTCCACAGTAATTATGGTTTTGCAAAAGCGTGCCATGGTCTCATGTGATACAGAATTCCCTGAAACGTGTTTCTTTTGAGTTCCAGGAATCTGCTGGGCAGTTTTAAACTCATCATTATGACACTGTGTAATTTGGATGGTAATTACAATATTTTTTTATAAAATTGAATGAGATATCGCAAACCCACAGTTGATAAAAGTTTATTTTACCTGAATGAGTCGACACTGTGGTAACTTGAGCATTGCGTGCTTGTGAAGAAACGCAAAACAATGATTTCAACCTCAATTAGTGATAATTGGTTAGCAAACATACAATGCCCAAGTAAAATTGCCTCTTCACGATTATTCTATACTGTGTATTGTGAAATATAGCCTTCAAGTTGCCGATATAAACTGCGCTAATGGCTCTCGAAGTTTACTCAATAGTTTTCATAGAACAAAAAAACTATTTAAAAAATAAAGACATTTTCAGTCCATTGATGGATGAAAGTCTCGCCAAACCATGTCGGTCACGGTTTTTTTTTACCATACTTTACCACGCTGGTCAGTGTACATTGGCAAAGGTAGGGGTGTGGAGGGTGGCACCGATTCTGACATCACTCGCTGCTGATGTTTGCCGTAACCTGGAATAAGGCCCAGCGTGCTCGCATCTTCGCCACCATAATAAATGTAACATGTTTTTTTCTCTCTCTCAAATCTTAATCATTTCAGAGACCGTTATAAAATGACATTCACAAGGTTGAGAAATGAGCAACACATCTCAAACATGTCATGAAACATTTCAAAAATCATTATACGGCTCCTATGCACATGCGCTTTGAATAGCTCCTTATGATAAACAGGAGGCAGTGAAGTGTGAACAGAAATAAAGCCCTGTCAGCCAAGGACTACAGCCCTATTTGCATGAAAAGTCGTGTCTTGTAATGACAATTTACATTGTCATTTCAGTTAAACCGATTCAACGGCATATAAATCCTGCCTGTCCTTTGATGATCAGATATTGAAACTAAAATGCAGTCATGCAGGAAGAAACCCCATTAAGTGACACCGACTTGGCTTTTAAAAGTTTCTGTATCAGATAATAAAAGCTTCACTCATCAAGCTCTTCTCGTTTATTGTATTCATTTCCTATGTATATATAATATTGCTGCGGTTTCCAGCTTATTGCTTTGAATTGCAGAGTTGGTTTGCATTTCTGTATAGAACTCTAAAGAGAATTGTAGGTGCCCTATAACCTAACAGCAGCAATAAAACCTGGAAAGTGTTCTGTAATGGCTGTGAAAATAAGCAGCCGCATTTACAGAATTACCAGCTATGGATCTAAGGAGAAATCTAACAGCCTTAACCAGCCAAAGTTGATAACTGCTTCCATAACAACCATCAACCCCAGCAAGACCTATGGTTATTAAGCAGATAGCAGATAGGACTGGGGTGCTGCCAATTAACTCTAGCTGCTCATTACATGGAGGGAAAGTACAGTGAGGGAAAAAAGTATTTGATCCCCTGCTGATTTTGTACGTTTGCCCACTGACAAAGAAATGATCAGTCTATAATTTTAATGGTAGGTTTATTTGAACAGTGAGAGACAGAATAACAACAACAAAAATCCAGAAAAACGCATGTCAAAAATGTTATAAATTGATTTGCATTTTAATGAGGGAAATCAATTTTGACCCCCTCTCAATCAGAAAGATTTCTGGCTCCCAGGTGTCTTTTATACAGGTAACGAGCAGAGATCGGGAGCACTCTCTTAAACGGAGTGCTCCTAATCTCAGCTTGTTACCTGTATAAAAGGCACCTGTCCACAGAAGCAATCAATCAATCAGATTCCAAACTCTCCACCATGGCCAAGACCAAAGAGCTCTCCAAGGATGTCAGGGACAAGATTGTAGACGTACACAAGCCTGGAATGGGCTACAAGACCATTGCCAAGCAGCTTGGTGAGAAGGTGACAACAGTTGGTGCGATTATTCGCAAATGGAAGAAACACAAAAGAACTATCAATCTCCCTCGGCCTGGGGCTCCATGCAAGATCTCACCTCGTGGAGTTGCAATGATCATGAGAACGGTGAAGAATCAGCCCAGAACTACACGGGAGGATCTTGTCAATGATCTCAAGACAGCTGGGACCATAGTCACCAAGAAAACAATTGGTAACACACTACGCCGTGAAGGACTGAAATCCTGCAGCGCCCGCAACTCAACTCACCGTGTTTGGAGGAGGAGGAATGCTGCCTATGACCCCAAGAACACCATCCCCACCGTCAAACATGGAGGTGGACACATTACGCTTTGGGGGTGTTTTTCTGCTAAGGGGACAAGACAACTTCCCCGCATCAAAGGGACGATGGACGGGACCATGTACCGTCAAATCTTGGGTGAGAACCTCCTTCCCTCAGCCAGGGCATTGAAAATGGGTCGTGGATGGGTATTCCAGCATGACAATGACCCAAAACACACGGCCAAGGCAACAAAGGAGTGGCTCAAGAAGAAGAAGAACATTAAGGTCTTGGAGTGGCCTAGCCAGTCTCCAGACCTTAATCCCATAGAAAATCTGTGGAGGGAGCTGAAGGTTCGAGTTGCCAAACGTCAGCCTCAAAACCTTAATGACTTGGAGAAGGTCTGCAAAGAGGAGTGGGACAAATTCCCTCCAGATGTGTGCAAACCTGGTGGCCAACTACAAGAAACGTCTGACCTCTGTGATTGCCAACAAGGGTTTTGCCACCAAGTACTAAGTCATGTTTTGCAGAGGGGTCAAATACTTATTTCCCTCATTAAAATGCAAATCAATTTAGAACATTTTTGACATGCGTTTTTCTAGATTATTTTTGTTGTTATTCTGTCTCTCACTGTTTAAATAAACCTACCATTAAAATTATAGACTGATCATTTCTTCGTCAGTGGGCAAACGTACAAAATCAGCAGGGGATCAAATACTTTTTTCCCTCACTGTAACTCAGGTGGCGCTAATTCGAAGACAATTACAGTGACGGCAAACACACATTTGTGCGCATGCCTTGAGCCTTACTAAAACAAATACCTGTACTTAATGGATGGAAGGCAGGGCGATAGTAAAGTGCCCTTATCTGAGCCCTTTAGCCAACACTAGCAGAGTTCTTCAGTGAAAAGCACTGGGCATGTTGAAAATGCTACTGTTACTTTTACAGGTTTTCGTCGGAGTCTGCATACAATCCACAAAAAACATCGACAGCTGTGAAGGTACTGCTACAACAGGTAAACCGACTGACTTCTCAGGGGGGATACGCCGTTTCAGGGCATTATCAGTGTCCTTCATGCATCCCTGTAAGACATTAATCATCGCCCGTGACGAAGAACAGTGTGGCCTGTGATTGCACAAAAATCTGAAACCATAGTGATAATATTTTACAAACAACAGATTTGGGCTTGGATAGCAACACAATGACTCACTTTAAAATGTAACCTTAGGTTTCCCTTGGCAGGAGAGATGGGAGCAAGGTGCTGGCGAGTTCCCGCAGAAATTATCGGGCCAACTCTATGCCAAACGTATTAACAAGGATTACGAGCCGCAAGCTCACCTTACCATTCAACAAAACCCTAACACTACGAAACAATTGAAGAGGTCGTCGGGATATTCTTAAGAAACTTGTCTTTTCTTACTATCCCTGTTAACTTATACATTTTACGTAGGATTGTGGAGTCGGATAAGTCCCTGTGCCAGGTTACCTGGGGTCATAATAGTCGAGTTGTTGTTACATTAGCCTGGTGGTTGTGGTAGTATATCGGCTGTGATGCCAAGCTGTAAAGCCGTGATATCAGTGCCGCGTGTCTGTGGTGTCAAAGATGTTGGCTATCGCATGATACGGGTGCACGTGCATCAGCGTATTGGTCGTAGTGGTCCAAGCAGGATTATGGTGACATACGCAGAGTGGTTAAATTTCGATTTAAAGCTTTCGTGACTGCAAGGATTCATCTTCTTTGGTTCTTTCGGTAAAGTCACGTAGAATGATAAAATAAAACAATGAAATTCTCACGACGTTTCGGCCAGGACGGCTACTTGTGTTGTGGCCAAAACATCGTGAGAATTTCATTGTGTTATTTTATTATTGTATTCGCATTCTACGTGACTTTACCGAAAGAACCAAAGAAGAAAAAAATACGCAGAGTGGTTGTGGTACCAATTTTCTAAATTAAAAAAAGCATTTATTTAGAATAGCTTTTTGCGTTTCGTTTGTTGTCCTTCCCACCGCACCTCCGGTTAACACGGCTGGCTACGTACGGCGCGAAAGAAGTCCAACATACATCAGGGGGATGTGTGTGGTATCAGCCGAGTGATACCACCGTCATGATGCGGGTAACACGAGTACCCTGCCAGCACCACCACCACCACCCAAGCGGACAACACAAGCACCCATCATCCAACACTACAACCACACAACACATAGCCCCACCACCCAAATCACTCACTCGGCTGACACCCACAAAACCAGCGCTAACCCCATCACAGAGGGCCCCCCACCCCACCGCCCCCCTACACGCGCGCCCACGCAGAATCTTGCTCGCTCACCGTGATGAGGGCCTTGGCCAGACATATGGCCCCGCGGCATCCAAACTCGCTCTCGTCGGCCGAGCGGCAGTACGTGAGCGTCCCTCCGCGCACCGCCACCCATCGGCCCTGCCAGCCCAGCAGGTAGTTGGTCCACTTGCTCAGCTGCCCGCACAGCTCCCCCGCCTCCGCCGCGTTCTCCGCGCTCTCGGCCTCCTCGTCGTCCGACGCGTCGTGCATGGCAGCTGCGACAAGCTGCACCCCCCCGTTGAACGATACGCAAACTGCGGTGGCGATATTATCAACAGCCACGGCGATTGATAATAATGACGGATGAAGGTGTGGGAGGGGGAGGAGGATGGTTGTGGGGTAAACACGAAACAAGGGTTGCGCTGGCACGAACCCACACTCGACGCGAATGAGCCCTGACGGCTGCCGTCCATTATATAGCCGCGTGCAGGCGACGTCACCAACACGCGCGAAGCAGTGCTTCGCCGCCATCCTGCTAGAGGGAACCGTGGGGGTAGGTGGGGGGGGTCGAGATTCATTAATGTCGACGGTTGATGACGTCGCATAATGAGGTGGTGGTGGGGGGGAGTCGAGGACGGTGGTAGCGGCCCCCATCCCCTCTGCGGTGCCTCCCCCCACCCACCCCACCTCCCCACCCCCCCCCATGTCCCCCTCCCCACCTACCCCCTCCACCTCCCCTACGTAAGATGGCCGACTGTGAAACGGCGCGCGCGCGGTGAAAATTTGAACGTACACGAGAAGCGGCGTCGGGGCGCTCACGCGGATTCGAAAGCGCCGTGAAGAGAGCTCCCCACCGGGGCCAACAAACAACGCCGGCTGACGATTATCCCGACCGGTAATTGTGGCCTCACCGAGGTCGACCGCGGCCTCAAATGAGTAGCCGGTGCGGTGTGTTAGTAAACATCGCCAGTGGGGAAGACAAAGGCGCGCGGGGCGGGGTTGCTGGCCAACCCACCCCCCTCGTGTGCGGCGCCGGCCTTCGTAGGTGCTACTCGCTAACGGCGCTTGCCCCCAACAGTGTTAAGGTTATCCGGGGGATATTGGTATTTTGTATATACAGTATACTGTATATCATTCCTTTGTCGATCTACTGCTGGCTGGAATGCCTCTCCGCACCGCGACCGTCTTGGGTGTTGTTTGACCATACTTCACCACGCCGGTCAGTGCAGCTTGGTACAAGCAAAAGGTTGACCCGAGTCGCGCTTGCGTTTACTCGGTTGCCGTGTGTTTAAATGTGTAAAGGGCTAAGCCGTGAGGCGACAGGGGGTGCCCTGGGGTTGTCAAGTTTCATTTATTAGGTATAGCCCTGTGAGCCATGCTGCTCTTAAGTCGGGTGCAACCTCAACAAACAAAATATGAACAGAGAAACATCTTAAAGCGACGACGCGCAACAGAAATATCCTGGATAAAACAGGAAATCTTCCAGACAAAAAAACCCCCACCGTATTACAACGCTGTGTGCAAAAATCCCAGTGTAATGCCATTAAAATGTATTCATATATAGTTGTCCAGGAAAATATCATCGAGTCTCAAGACATTGTTTTCGTTATGTCTGCCGAATGCCTATTGAATGTAACCTCATCTTTACCTGGGAATTCACAGTGGTCGTGTCAGCAACACGACCAGAACCGAGCCGGGACCACTGGGACTGTGTGTGAGTCTAGATCGATAATGACTCTGACTAACGCGAATCTGTCACCGCTGAGGTCCAGGGTTTAAACCACGTTATGTGTTTTATTTGACCAGTTTAAGGTCCACTCAGCTATGTGGCTGTTTTTCAGAAGCGACCTGGCCACAAATGATCGCACAACAAAGTGGCTCAGCATGTGGAAATGTATAGCAGCCAAATATGAGCTTGATTTGAAGCTTTCGTGTGACTGCAGGAATCCAAACTCTTTGGTTCTTTCGGTAAAGTCACGTAGGTAGAAATAATAACAGATCACGACGTTTCGATCGCAACACAAGCAATCGTCATCAGGTGAGACAAGCGACCGTCTTCAGGTGAGACGGTCGCTTGTTGTTGTGATCGAAAAGTCGTGATCTATTATTTTTTCTACCTACGTGAGTTTGCCGAAAGAACCAAAGAGTACAGCCAAATATACTCTTAAATGTAGAGGGGAAAACCAGAGAACCCTGGAGACAAATCCACGCGATCGCGGAGAGAGACGCGCAAATTCCAAATATACAGGCGTCAAAGTCGGGATCGAACCACAACCTCCTGTATACCAGGCGATGTCGTTAACATTTTGCCACCGTGGTGCCCAAACGCTGTACAGTATCTGGTTGTCATTAACCTCATTTTAGCCGTGTGTAAAACACTTAAGACCAGCACTGCCAATCTCCTGGGGTCAAGCCCTGATTCTATGTCTCTTGTCAAAAGGCTCACAATTGACATGCCCTTAACAATCACCACTAAATTTGAATCTTGGATTCAAGCCCTCACGTGGGTATATATTAGGAGGCTCATAATGGCCGTGTCAGATCACCGAACCAGAACCTCAATATAATTTATATGTGTGTCGTGTCAGCATATAAGACAGTTGGTGCAGCAGAAGCGATTACATAACCTCCTGCTGACTAGGGGATAATCTTTGCAAAGTAGGAGATTGCTCATTTTTCAGGAAGCTTCGGAGTGAATCCCAGGCATTTATTGATCTCCGGTGAGGGGGGACCTCCCTTCAGGCTGGAGACTGAAGACGGGATGGAGGGAGCAAGGGGAGCCGTGGCTGCCCCTGGGCTTGTGTCTTGCATGGCCCTCAACGACAACAAGGCTGGAATGGAGGGGCTGGATAAGGAGCGCATTAACAAAGTCATCCTTGACATCTCCAAGGTGTGTCGCGTCGTCCAATCGTGGGCAATTGCGCTGCCCAACAGACCTTTGGGGTGGCCGTGTTTCATTAAGCATCGTGTAAAAGTGTGACCATTTTATCGATCCATTTCTTGATGAAGGCCTCCCTCCGCTATGCGAGTCGTGGGGTATATTTGACCATACTTCACCATGCTGGTCAGTGCCCGTTGATAAAGTCGGGGAGTGTTGATGGACAATGCTATAGTACAAAAATGGGTTTGTTGCACTGATATCTGCTGTCCACCACATAGCCCTGCAACCACCCATAACTACTGTTATGCATGGTGGTTTCCCATCGAAGCACTATTCAGGCACAAAACTTACTTAGCTTTTGACATCTGACAAGATGTCAGATGTCCAGATCATTTGGTCATTGCCTAATAGACATCCATGAATGATGAGATTTATTTATCCTGGAAAACTTCACAATCTGCATGAGGATGTTTGTCCATCTCTTTAATAACGACTATTTTGTGGTCCGAAAGGAAACGGGATTACCCAGGGAAACCTGCTACTTGCATTACGGAATAATACTTAAAGGTCTGCACAGTCAGGTCAGGAAGCCACTTGCTGTCCTGCCGTCTCATGGCCATTTTTCAGACCAGAAAATTTGTAATATTTTGGTTAACAAATCTGCACGATCCACAACCCCTTACCTCCAAAGTGTTGGATTTACAGATGAACACCTCCAATTGTGAACTATTAATCAACTTTGGTGTTCCATTAAATGTATGGCAAGCTTGGAATGTATTCCTAATGTCAGTTCAACAACATGACAAACAGCTGCCACCGAGTTAACACTACATTTCTTGAGTCATGCTAATAATTGTATTGCAGGGGTCTCGTTTTTATGAGAATGAGCTGAAGAAGGAGCAGCAGGTGAACCAGAAGATCGAGAGGATGTTGCAGCAGAAGGGTCAGCTTACTGATCAGCAGATCCGACAAGCTGAGCTGCAGGTTTGTGTGTAGGCTGTACTCATCAAAGTCTGTACAAATCCACAATTGTTCTAATACATTATTATGCTCAAGATATATATTTTACAGTCCCTTTGTCAATCAATACTTTACCGTGCTGCTCAGTTTGAGTTGGTGAAGGTAATTCCCAGGACCGATTAAGACAACTCTACTACGGTAGCCATGGAAAGGAATAAAACTCAGGCCCCGAGGTTCAAGACCAAGTATGCTAATAGCTGCACCACCATTCCATGCATCAAATTGTGTATCTAAAAATCAATTATGATTAATCCAAGTTTACGCTAATGTGCTGATGTAACCTTTAGACTGGTATAATGAAAAGGACAAACATATGAGATGGAACATGAAAATGAGATGTTAAAAACCACAAAAAAATAAGATTATATTTTTTTGAATTGTGACAGCCACCCCCAAAATGAACAGTTAATCGAATTGTGGGGAGAGAGCAAATCGTTACATGACTGCTAAGCATGCATGTATGTTGAAATTCTTTCGCACCGTACGTATCCAACCGTGCTCATCAGAAGATGCGGGGAAGTAGCTGCGAATCGCTTTCACCCAATGTTGCAACACTCATCAGATGGACAGTCTGGTGGAGCGTCTGGAAAAGTCCCGCGATCTCAACCGCACCATCGTGCACGTGGACATGGACATGTTCTATGCCGCCGTGGAGATGAGGGACTTCCCAGAGCTCAAGGACAAGCCCATGGCCGTCGGCTCCATGAGCATGCTTGTGAGAGCTCTCGACGCACTCTCATTTGCTCGGATTATTATAAATGATGTAGTAATAATAATAATGAGACTTGCATTTATATTGCGCCTGTAACATAAATAAACGTCTCGGAGTGCATTGTAGCCGAGGGGACCCTGTGAGGAACAAGGTGACTCAGGACTGGCCTGCACGTGGGCATTGGTCTGCCTGTACGGGGTAATGATTACCACGTGTAATCCCAAAAGAGTAATTTGCGATTTGGTGACACTGATGTATAATATAAAATCCACAAAATTTGTATCGTCCATTTGCAAAATGTATCGGATTATCATTGTTCATTTTATTTTATGTTTCATATCCTGTCAATATGGAATAATAAAGCAAATAGCAATAAATACACATTAAATTAATGCTTTTCAAACTTTTCCCAACTAAATGACGGCAAGATAATACAATAGAAATTTGAAAGACAATTACAAACTTAGAAAAACTGATATGGCAAAAACATCTCGCCACCGCTGCAACCTACTATTGTATCGTATCACGAAAATGTTGTGACAACCCCTATCATTTACTTACCCAGGAGAGAATGCACTGACATTCACGGTTACATGCACGTATGTACGTAGCACTTCTTTCGCACCGTGCATAGCCAACCGTGCTAATCGGAGGTGTGGACGCGAAGGACAACAAACTAAACACAAAATCAGTTCTAAAGAAATGAGTTTTCAATCGGGGAGATGAGGCTGTGGAGGGTAATCAGGTATGTATGTTGAACTTATTTCGCACCGTACGTCGCCAACCGTGCTAATCACGTGAAAATAACGTTGATGCACATTTAGGGTGCCTACTGGGTGGAGGATTTCCCAGTGGATGGCAGTTGCCTCCTGGATGAAATAAATTGACTACTGCTGTCAAAAATTAGGGATGGTTAAGCGAGATAACTTGGGGGATTGCCAAGAAGATCTGCTTGAGTGAACGTTGGAACATCGATGCTGCTTCACACTCTTTATAACAATGACGGGAAAACCTATTGTTCTAGTTAATGAAGCCTGTTTTCAGGAAAAAGTTTTCAATAAATATAATAATTAACCTGATTTCGATTTAAAGCTTTCGTGACTGCAAGGATTCATCTTCTTTGGTTCTTTCGGTAAAGTCACGTAGAATGAGAATAAAATAATAAATTGATAAAATAAAATAACACAATAAAATTCTCACGACGTTTCGGCCGCTTGTGTTGTGGCCGAAACGTCATGAGAATTTAATTGTCTCATATTATTTTATCAATTTATTATTTTATTCTCATTCTACGTGACTTTACCGAAAGAACCAAAGAAAATTAACCTGATATTATTATTTTTAATTTTTATCTACGACACTAACAACTGCTCCAAAATTTGTATTTTTCTGCAAAAAAGACGCAAAAATTGTTTACTTGAATAAACTTCTGATATTTAAAGACGTATCCATTTGAAACTACTTAATTTAAAGATTATGTTCTTTTTTACGTGAAAGAACACAACATTAACTTAATATTCTGAGGGGAAGCTCCTATCTTTTACCGTTTTAGAATTCCTTAGATTTGCACATCATAAAATGCGTTTTTTTTCCATTCAAAACCGCTTGAATCTTAAATATCTCAAAAACAATTAAAAGATAGAACAATGGTTCTCCCTTTAATTGTATTTTCTGTTTAACGCTCTATCAATTAATAAAAAAACGCAATCTTATATTTGGAAAGGTTTCTGAATGACACGCACAAACATGTTTATGTGGCACTTAAAATCGAGATTTTGGGGGCCTTAAAATGAGAAATCTCTGATTTTCATATTTGTCCTGTTGTTTGTGTCCTAAAAGCTACATGTGCACTAAATTTCAGCTTTCTACCTTGTCGGGAAGTATTCTCGATGTTTTTGAGACGTACATACAGATTCAATTCTTCATGTATATAGATGACCCACGGCCACATGGGGGCCACCACTTCTAATCGGCCCACTCAAGATTTTTATCCATCTCTACAATCACAAGAATCAAGTACTAAAACGTCATATTTTCTTTGTCGTTACTTTAGGGCCTCTTGCAATGACAGAAGTGACTAAGGTGTGCATTTTAGTGTTCGCGTGTAGCCCACCGAGGTAATTTGAATGACCTATTTGGCTCCAAGGAAATTGTCCCCACCCCTGGTTCAGGCCCTGGTCTGCGCTTGGAAATTATGTCACAGACTCTCTGGAGACTCCTTGTCAAGTCGATACACCAATTGTACTCACTCTGCCTACATACACGATAAGCAACAATAATTTGCGGAGTTTGCATGCCATTAATTTAAACCCTCACTGAACAAGTGGTCTTTGGACACTTGTGATCGCAACGACCAATGTATCTCAGTGCTGTATTATGAACAGCGCACAAGGCTTTGCACGTCTCTCGCAAATCCTTTCCCCTCGCAACGAGATGCTGCTTGCTATAACCCCACAGGTGCTTTGAGCACGTCATTGTCTTCCTTAAGGTCTGGAAGGATTAATGACTGATAGTGTGCCTCTCCCTGCTCACGTGTACTGTAGGTCATGTGATTTGTAATCTTAGTTTAGGCATTGGTTTTCTTTCCTATAGGTTTCCTGTAGATGTTTTTCTTTTACCCCTGCAAATATATAGTGCATGACCTCCGATTAAGACGGTTGGCTACGGACGGTGCGAAAGAAGTTAAGCATACATGTATACAATTGTGAAGTGATAAATCACTGACACTTTTAATGTTTACCAGTATTCTGTCCTTGAAACCTGCTAATACGTCGTTAAATAAGTAAAGCCTGAGGTCAATCCACTGCTATATGAAGGTCTCCCCACTCCATGACATGAGGTTTGTTTGACCATTCTTCCTGCTTGTCGGTGTGGGATGGTGAAGGGGGTGGTGGTTCAGAATTGGTTTAGGTATCACTCACCACTGATGTCAACCATAGCCAGGTTGGCAGGTTTTTAACGCAGTGCACTAATCACTCGTCAAATGTAAAACAAAATTGACCTTGTTTGCATGTATTTGTGTAGATGCTGTAATTGCATTTTTTAAAATACTTTTTTAAACACCAGGAAATACGCCGCATGCCGGCTGAACGCGTGATGTATATTTTTTGTGGGCCTTCGCCTGCACTTTTTGGTGCCTCAGCCATATAGTCAACCTGCTTAACTTGGCCACCTGCTTGAATTGTGGGTGATTTGTAAGCAAGCGGCGTGCATGTGTGTGTGTGTGTTCTGTGCATGCAGTCAACGTCAAACTACCACGCCCGCAGGTTTGGCGTGCGCGCCGCCATGCCTGGCTTCATCGCCAAGAAGCTGTGTCCTGATCTTGTCATCTGCCCACTGAATTTCAACAAATACTCCGCTGTGAGCAAGCAGGTGAGCTGTACTCATACTCTTTGGTTCTTTCGGTAAAGTCACGTAGGTAGAAAAAGAGTAATACAGCTCAGGTGAGCTGTATTACTTCTTTGTGTAGTTACGCCTAAGTTAACGGATAGGTCATGCAGAATGAGTAGATATTGACATAGCAACATTAATTAATTATATAACCAGGTAAAGGCAAAAAGCATTAAAAATGTTTTTTACATATATAAAAGCAAGTTGAGCAATGCAATAGAGTTTAAACATTGCCAGAACATCCAGAACATAGGTGCAGTTGTAAATTTGAAATTGTGTGTAAAATATTTATGAACAATATTCAAATCGGTAGGAAAAAATAGACTTTAATAAAAAGAGCAATACAAAATGGTAGTCATTCAAAGTATAACTCATGACACTTATTCATATAATGTGAATTAGAAATATAACCCTTATTGAATGGTGACCAACAGGTCCGAGAAGTCCTTGCCGATTATGACCCAAACTTTCTACCAATGAGCCTGGACGAGGCTTACCTGGACATCACGGCTCACCTGGCGGAGCGGCAAGCCTGGCCCGAAAGCCGCCGCACCTTCGCCGCTCACGAGGGACTGTGCCAGGGGAGGGACTGCAACGGGTGCAGGGTGGCTCAGACCAGCTCAGCGGTGCACAACGCCCGTGACACAAACTCATTAAGGGTGCTCGGAAACGGTGGCACGGCGGAAAGCACGTGTGACCCAAATGTGTCACCAGCGGGAGGCTTTACGACCAATAAACAAACAGATGAAGCAAACGATGGTGCATCCTTCGAGAGTTACTCACCAGAACTGTTCGATAGCACCCCGCCGCAGGTCGGTGGAAGTGAAAATGCCGCGTCAGGGTTTGGCGCCAGCGCGAGCCGTAACGGAACGCCTGAGCGCTCATCGACGGCAGTGGTGTTTGGGCTGAGTGTCGAGGAGGCCGTCAGGGAAATGCGATTCCGCATCGAGCAGAAAACGGGTCTCACAGCCAGCGCCGGTGAGTCAATGCATCTAGAGTTAGACTCCAGGAGGGTCCGTCATTTGTGGCCAGGTTGCTTCTGAAAAAGCTATGTAGCTCAGTGGCCCTTACCTGGTAAAATAAAACAGTTTGGTTTAGTTTAAAAGATCGATCAACCTCGGTCACTGAAACGACAAAAGAAAAACAAATCCCAGTTATGGTATCTCACCATTGCCACTTGGTGTTGGGTCGTCCCCTTGTTTCACGTTCCTCACCTCTAGAGAGGGTGTTTTGGCCAACTCTTCTACGCTGGCCAGACGTCTTGTGAATCCACTGCTGGATGAAGGCCTGTCCATTCCACATCGGTTTTGGGAGTTTTTTGACCGTACGTCACCACGCTGGTCAGTGCGGGGTTGGCGAAGGTTGGGGTGGCCGAGCACCAATTTACTGATCTTAGCCGTGACTCGGAAACAAACTCAGGTCGCCGAAGTTGCAGAGCAGTGTATCAGTCACTGCATCGCCGCTCCCCGTGACCGTTACATTAGTGTTGCCAATCAACTTGTGGGTGTGCGTTGGCAATGTTTGTGTTTGCAGGCATTGCCCCCAACATGCTGCTGGCGAAGGTTGGCAGCGACATGAATAAACCCAACGGGCAGTACCGCTTGGAGCCCACGAGGGATGCCATCCGCAACTTTGTGGATGAGCTGCCGATACGCAAGGTACCCACGATGCTTGCGTCTTCTCTGTGTTCAACGGTGGCGAGATGTTAAATATCTTGCCTGGTATTCAGGAGGTTGTGGGTTCGATGCCAACCCTGACGCCGGTATATTTGGAGTTTGTATGTTCTCCCCGTAGTTGCGTGGATTTTTATACGGGTCCTCCGGTTTTTCCCTCCACATTTAGAAACATGCGTTTAGAGTATTTGGCTGCTATCAATTTCCACACGATGAGCCGCTTCATTGAGTCATCATTTGTGGCTTCTGAAAAAGAGTTATATAGCTCAGTGAGCCTTACTTGGTAAAATAGAAAATAGTTTAAGTTGAATTGTCTGCCACCTTACATGCATGCACATGCTTATTTTGCCTGTGTAACTTATCAGTGTAGTGATTTAGATCCAAATGATTGAATGCTACACACTTGTGACAAAATCACCAAATAATGACACTTGTGTAAGTGTAGGAAAAGCTCACTCTAGACTCTCTTTCAAGAGGGTCGTACTAAGTTATCGCAGTAAGTGACAATGATTGTGACGTTTCCCAGTTAAATAATTCTCCAGTAATCTAAAAAAATTGGACCATAACACTGGCACGCAATGGCCTACTCTTCATAGGTACTCGTTAACAGTCCTTTCCCCATTAGTCTGTATCGCTATACGGGGATCTTTAATTTGTTATATGTGTACTGAAATGCTCACTCATGCCGGTAGGTGAGCGGCATCGGGAAAGTGACGGAGAAAATGCTGAATGCGCTGGACGTGTTCACGTGCGCCCACCTGCACCGGCAGCGAGCTCTGGTGGCGCTGCTCTTCTCCGAGGGGTCCTGTCAGCACTTCCTGCGCATCTCCATGGGCTTGGGCTCCACTCACGTTGACAGGTGGCTTCGTTCAAGCAACGAGCGGCACAGCAGCACGGGATATATAGGGCACAATGGTGGCGAGATGTTAACTACCTTGTCCGGTATGCAGGAGGTCGTAGGTTCGATCCCGACCCTGACGCCTGTTGTATATTTGGAGTTCACATGTTCTCCCTATGGTCATGTGCATTTTTCGCCGGGTCCCCCGGTTTTTCCCTTCACATTTATAAATGTGCATTTAGAGTATTGGCTGCTACAAATTTCCACATGATAAGCCACTTCGTAGAGCTATCATTTATGGCCCCGTTGCTTCGGAAAAATAGCTGTATATCTCATTGAGCCTTACCTGGTCAAATAAAAAAAATCTTTTAGAAGTTTAGTTTATAGTCCACTTATCTCACTGTGAATTTCTTAGATCGCAGGGGATCATGACTAGAAATATCGGGTCAGTGTGTAATACGGGTAATTATTGACTTGGCGAGCAGTAAAGGTTTATTGTGTTTTGCGAATACTGTATAATAGTGGCAAGTTCAGAATATATGGCTACTTCATGAACACAATTATTTAGTTTTTTTTAGCACTTTCCACCTAAGGTTCAGAGTGTTCATTCATTTGCTCTGCCCATCTGTTTTTTGGTCTTTGTGAGTGGGTCATGATAACTGTCATAAAGATGATCCAAAATAAATTAAATATAAAGGCGATGACAACACTTACTTTGCATGATGTCATTGCAGGGTGATGTCATATCGTTGTGCAGCTCTGAAAGTAACTTTGTCACTAAATTTAATCATTCCAAGAGGACAACACACACTTTGGAAATCTTTACACAATCCAAGCGTGTACATATGATATTATTTTCCCCTATTATATTCCATTTGTGTTATCAGCATCATGTAATGAGATGACGTGATTGACATTTGGAACACTAGCTCAAAGCAGTGTGACCACCTTGTGTCACAGAATGGCCCTGGAAGATGACGCCATAGAGCTCCCGCTGTTGCTGTCACTTAGATAGGCATCATCCACACGAGGAGCACACACACTGACGGCTTTGGCCATTTCATTTGATGCTGTGCTTGGAAAAAAATGCTCAATACAATATTCACAATTAAGTTTGTACCCAGTATTTCAACTAAAGGTTGGGTCTCACCGCCTCTGTAATTCTTTTTGTGTGTGTGTTTATTCCAAAGGGACGGAGAACGGAAGAGCATGAGCACGGAGAGGTGAGTCTGCACCATTGGTTTGTTAGAGAGACTTCGTTGAAGCTGTCCGCGGTTGGGAGCCATTCTCGGCGACTCATTGTGTTTCCTACAGGACGTTCAGTGAGATCAACAAGCAAGAGGAGCTGTACAACTTGTGCTGGGAGCTGTGTGGAGACCTGGCCAATGACCTCAGCAAGGAGGGACTGAAGGTATCCACACTCACATCCAAAGTCTTTTATGCCATCGCCTGACAGAGATGTTCGTTTACGGATATATCTGTAGGTAGTAAAAGAAATGGTTTACATCACGTACATGTCTCTTTTTATGCATATGACATGCACTTATAAACTGTACATATGCAGCCCGTTGGTCAATCCACTGCTGGGTGAGGGCCCCTCCCTACGCCATGCGGGAAATAGGAGTTCTTTGACCATACTTCACGCTCATCAGTGTGGTTTGGCGAATGCCGAGAGCGTAGACGTTGCAGTGCCTGGCGTCCAGTATAATTACAAACACAGCAGCATTGTCAATTATATTGTGCTTGCAATTTATTATGAATGGCAATTACTATAGTAATTCACCTAAGGTGCATGCTATTTAGGCTTTAGGTTTCAAGGTTATTCAATACTTAGACTTTACACTTCACTTTTATTCAACGGGCACGATGCTGGCCTCACTAACTCCTCGTGTGCCGTGAGGGCGTCATTTAGGTGCTCGCAGCCCTTCCACAGCTTATAAGGCTTGATTGGGGGAATCTGTTTATTTTATATTTACTGGACAGGGGCGCACAGTGACCGTGAAGACAAAAAGCGTGAGTTTTGAGGTGAAGACCAGAGCGATGTCGCTGCCCGGGCCCGTGGCCTCAAGGGAAGAGATTTACGCGGCCGCCAAGGAGCTACTCAAGACAGAAATGGACAACATCTCTCCCCAGCCACTCCGACTACGGCTCATGGGTACGAAACAATTTCCCACGGCCGACAGCATTTAAAAGCTTCGCAATACAGAGAGAGAGAGCAAGCTCAGTCCCCATTAATATTCCATCATTGTGGCTAAACAAAACGTGGTGACATTTATATGTTGTGTGCTGTGCTTTTTTTAAGTTCAGTCCATGTAATGTTTCAACAAGCAATGCATTGTGGTGCATTGTAAATAACATGTGTGCATAATGGGTGTTCCTCAGTGACTTATCAGGAGGGGGCAGACTAATACCCACTTGCTGGCCATTGCTCTATTCACCTTGTGCCACACAGGGGCAGCTGCCACTGGGGGGGATCCCCTGCCACGATGACTCAAGATGTTAGCGCATGAGAGGCGCGGTATAAATATGAAGTTGCGATGATGATGATGATTTGCGTTCCATCCTCCCCCGGCTACACTTTGTTTTACCACGTGCGTGCACGCGTGTGCAGGGGTGAGGCTGTCCGGGTTCGTCGACCGGACGGAGCAGAAGCAGAAGCAGCGATCAATCAGCACGTTCGTACAGAGCACGCGCAGCAGCAGCAGCAGGAGGGAGGTCGCCTCGCCGCACATCGATGTCTTGCCGCATGGCTCAACATTCGGCGAGCCGTCGGTATGGGCCCAGCCGTACTCATCGAGCGCCACTTGTCTGTTTTTATTCCCAATTCCAGAAATGCGTAAATATTGCAAACATGTTTTTTCATTTCATTTTAGACTCATCCACTTAGTGAACAAAGTGCTCTGGGTTCTGCTACTGGGGCTGTTCTGCCCGGCCAAGTGGAGGAGGAGAGCGGACGCCCAGAAGTTCGCATCAAGTCGTTCTTCCAGCGGGTTCAGGCTGAGCGACAGAGCCAGCTCGACAAGCAGCCGTCACCCATGGCACCTGGGCCCACATTGGAGTCCGCTGGGCGGTGTGCCAGTGCCACCCGACAGCCCTCGCCCGTCTTGACGGCGAACCGCGGCGTCGATGGCCGTGGCGGTGGTGGCCGCCCGACCCGGCGCGGCAAGGGCACCGTCCCAGTGTACACGTGCCCGGTGTGCGACATGCGCCAGGACAGCAGAAGCCTGTCTGAGTTCAACGCCCACATCGACGAGTGCCTCGGTGAAACCGAACACTCGGGTTTTGCTGTCGTGGGCGGTTCCAGCGGCGGCGCGGAGTGGGGACACGGGCTTGGAGGGAAGGATCGCCCGACTCGAAATGTGTCGCTGGCCCAAGATGATGGCGGCGAGCCGAGGCAGAGAGCGTGCGCCGCCGCCTCCGGTGCCGAGCAGAACTTGCACCGAGGTGTAGAGCGACGTGCAAAGCAAACGACGTGCAAAACAAATCGACCTCCATGCCATTCGGAAGAAAGCGGGCAGGCGTGTGCCGCTAAAGATGCTGCCGACCCCAAGGGATCTGAGAGCAAGCGAATCCAATTGCGGGATTTTAACAATGCCGCCGTCCAGCTGGTAGACGCTCTCGGAGAATGCGCGGTTCCCCGCTATCGGCAGGGTGTAGGTGGACCGCTGGCGGAGCACGCCGGAGACCGTGAAGCAGCCTGCGCTCCAAGCGGGACGATGAGAGTGCCTGCCATGGCCGGCGCTCCCACCTGCCCAATCTGTCTCTGCCCCCAAGGCTCGTCCGACCTCGTGGCTTTCAACAGCCACGTGGACGTCTGCCTCAACAGGAGAGTCATCGAGGAGCTCGTGGGCCACGGGCCAGGTGTGTCGCGCGCCTCTGGTGAACGATGTACATCACTGCGTTAACAATTCATTGCCAGTGTTGCTCCAACGTGTATGAAATGGTGACTTGTGCAATGTCTATTCCAGGGTCAACAGAGGCAGGGAAGCAGCCTAGCATTTCCAACGGAAGGCTGAAAAGGTAATACTGATTTAATTGTTGTGAACTCGCCAGCATACACCTGTCCGATAATGTATATTCGGTAAAGACGTGTAAGCATATGGTCAAATCACCTACAATGCACCAATCCCACCAGACCTGGGAAGCTAAGCGGGTTTGAGCCTGGATAGTGCTTGGATGGGTGATCAGTAAATCAGTAATATCCATTATTGGACTGTAACTATGCTTCCCACTTTCATGAACCCCCACTGACCAACGTGGTGAAGTGTGGTCAAATAATCTCCACAACCTACACGGCGTTAGAGGCCCTCATCCACCAGTGGATTGACATACGTAGAGACGTGTACACGCTCAACTCGTAATGCCTGATGATGCGATGGGGATTGTGAAGTGTGACATGAATGCACAAAACGACAGAACACACTTGTGTGGCTGTGTTAACCACGTAAGCATTTCAACACGAAGTACGCGTTGGTCGTTTGATATTCCTGTTTGCCCGTCTGGCCCAGGTCGCACGTCGGCTCCAAGAAGTCTTCAGCGAAACGGGCGAAGCACTCTCCATCAAAACCTGGCATCGAGCGTTTTTTTCAAACGAGCTGAAAGAAAGGCTGTCGGCGGAAGGAGTTATCAAGTTGATCTTTCTTTTATCATAACAGCGGTGGCGATGATGATTATAATGATAAAAGGGAAATTATGTCAGCTGTGACAACAGCGTCCATAAGAATATAAGCACTTTTTCACCAATATCCTAACGTGTACTCGCTCTTTTTAATTGCCCATTATGTTATTCAACACCAATGCATACTTTACGTCCTCCGAAAATAATTTAATTTACTTTAAGTGATCACGTTCGCAGTATTTCGGTAGTGGATTTTGACGGTAATATTTTAAGTGTCCTAATCGCTTTAGCATTCATAGTAATTCGTTGCTTCTATACGGTGAGCAGTGATTGCTTCAGAATTGGTTTCTATGGTCGTGCATCGATGACCCTGGCTGTCTATAAACGAATCATCTTGGCCGACGTTCTCACATTGTGCGTATTTTATCTTAACCAGATTCGTGTTATAGGTCCTCTCACAACGTGTTGGACCTGCAATATGTTTATCCTCGACGGTATAATTATGCCCTGCATAGTATTTAAAAAATAGATATGTTACGTTGATAAATTAAAAACATTTATGGTTACAATGAAGTTAATTTATGCGCATCGGTGACAAATTTTACATCTTTATGAAAGTTATTTATTGTTTATGCAATGAAGACAATTATACCTTTAGTTTTGGTGATCTCTGCCTGCAACTCTACACTGTGTGCAACACCGGGTAGGCTACGTGGATCCGAGCCACGTCACATTTATTATCTAGTAGAATTTCTGCACATGCTGTGAACACCATATGGAATTCCATCTCATAAATTGGTTCTGAAAAAAGGAACCATTGTAATGCCTATTCTAAATCTCAACCCCAAAAAAGAATTATGCGATGGCACGCGTCTGGTGATTCGTGAAATGCACCGTGATTTAGTTTTAGCTGAAATAATTTCAGAATCCAATCGTGGAGATAGTCTTCATGCTCAGAATTGATCTGGCACCGTCTGATTTGAATTTACCATTCATTTTGAAGCGAAGGCGGTTTCCGATCAACCCTGCATTTGCTATAAACTGTCAATAAATCACAAGGACACACTTTTGAGTTTGTTGGACTTTATCTCAACGAATCAGGTTTTTTTTTTTCCCATGGACAAGTTGCTTTGTCAAGATGCAAAAATCAAACCAACAAAGTGTGCTGATTCAATGAAATTAATCTCAAGGGAAAATGTTGGGAGATGATTGTCATTTTATATTAAATGGGATATAACATTTTTATTAAATAAATTCAATACATATTTAAATTGTAGTCTTTTTCATTAAATTGTGTTTTTATGAACCCGTCATGACGGGCAATTACACGAGTTTAATAATACTGGAGTACCGATTTGTGCATCCGTAGTAGCCAGTAGGGGGCCTGAGTTCATCTTTCTGTTTTGACGAGACAGCCAAGACGTGAGTCGCGCATATAAACCTGTCAATTACAACACTACCAGACTGAAACCTCAGTAGGGCGATGAACCCATGTTGTGAGCGATTGTTAATGTTCAGTATGGCACGTGCAGCAAGATAGCCATGCTCCATGAACCACGTGGAAGTGAGCTGTGTGAAGGGAGCCAGAGTGCCGTGTTCAGTAAGCCATGCTCAATTGCAGTAAGTCAATAGGGAGCCATGTTCATGGATAGTGACCTAGAGCTAGCCATGGATAGTGAGCCATGTTCAGTAAGCCATGGTCCACGTGCTATGAGTCATGAACCATGGGCAGTGAAGCATACCCCCCGGGCTATAATGAGCCCCTGGGCAGTGAGCCATGACCCCTGTGCTAAGGTGGGCCATGGGTAGTGAGCCCTGAACCATGGGTTGTGAGCCATGCCTCCTGGGCCAGTGTGAGCCATACCCCCTTTGATATTGTGGGCCATGCGTAGTGAGCCATGAACCATGGGTTGTGAGCCGTGAGCCATGGGTTGTGAGCCGTGCCCCCTGTGCTCGGGTGAGCCGTGAGCCATGGGTTGTGAGCCGTGCCCCCTGTGCTAAGGTGAGCCGTGAACCATGGGTTGTGAGCCGTGAGCCATGGGTTGTGAGCCATGCCCCCTGTGCTCGGGTGAGCCGTGAGCCATGGGTTGTGAGCCGTGCCCCCTGTGCTCGGGTGAGCCGTGAGCCATGGGTTGTGAGCCATGCCCCCTGTGCTCGGGTGAGCCGTGAGCCATGGGTTGTGAGCCGTGCCCCCTGTGCTCGGGTGAGCCGTGAGCCATGGGTTGTGAGCCGTGAGCCATGGGTTGTGAGCCATGCCCCCTGTGCTCGGGTGAGCCGTGAGCCGTGTCCCCGCCCGCTGCGCTGCCCAGCTGCTCCTGTGCGCGGCGCGCGCCTCGCCGTGCGCTCCCAGCTCCATCATCATCATCACCACCACCATGGAGGATGATCTCGTGTCGGAGGATGACGTCCGTGAGTAACCGGCAGCGCGGATGAGGATGCTGGTGGTGGTGACGATGATGACCGCGATGATGATGATGTTGATGATGTGTGGGATGGCGGGTTTGCACTAAGATGGCTGGTCCGCTCTTTCGCGCATTCGTTGTAGGATGCAAAGCCGTGCCGTACTGTAGCCCCCAAAACAAGGGGGTGTCTGGGGTAGGGCACGCAGATCGTGAACTGATGGGTAGATCAGCGAATGAGCGGGTGATTGATTTAATGAATGGAGCTGCGCGCAGAGATTCCGTGTTTGTCCGGCGCGTTGGGGTGAGCCAAAACACAACACGTTAATAAAAAATCTAAATACTGTATAATACGTAACCAGCCATTCTCTATCCACCGATGGATGGATGAAAGCCTTTCCTTCCCCAATGTCGGTAATGCGTGGATTGTGGATTTTTGACCATGCTTCCCGCGATGGTTGCACGATTGGTTCGAGCGAGCATTCGGTGAAGTGTTGTGGAGTGGAGGGGGGGGGACGGTGCTGATATCGCTCGCCACTGATGTCAGCCGTGGCTGGGAATTTAACTGGAAGAGCAACGCGTCCCACCAAGCTACCACCTTCTTGTACGACATTGCAGGATTGCAAACACCTCGTGTTGCATGTCACGTAATCACTCGAGAAGCTACTGCCAAGTCCATCTCGACTCCGTGATATGATTGCATGCGTTTGGAGGAGCGGTGGCTCAGTGGTGAGCGCACCGAGTTGTGAATGAGGTCGATTCCCCGCCGTTAACCGGGCATCCTCAGCTTCACGAACCCGCACTGACCGGCGTGGTGAAGTATGGTCAAGCAACCTCCATCACCGACGCGGGATGGGGAGGCGTTAATCCAGCAGTGGAGTGAAAACCCGGCTCGAAAGAGTCCTGTACTGTAATCGTGAAAATGTACATTCAGTATACATTATATTACAAAATTTACACAGTTTGTGTAGAAGCCTCGTATGTATCTGCAGTATACAGTGCAGTATGTGTGTACTGGATTGTGTTAAAGATGGGTTGTGACATTCACACAGTGCTGCCGTACATTGTATGACCTTGTGTACGGGAGGAGTGGGCTATTTTTTGGTGATATCGGTGGAGGGAATGATCCACCGATGCCTGTCCAAGGTTATGCCATAGACCTGGAGACTGGAATTCGCATTCAATTCATTATTTTTTCGCCTGTTTACCCAGCCAGGCAGGGGAACCCTCACTGAGTCCCAAGACTTTGATTTTTAAGCAGGGCCCTGTTGAGCTTTTTTTTTGCAAAGGTTCTAGCGCAATCAAGTTAAAGGCCGAGTGAATCATCATTTTAACAGGTAGGCTTTCGCGACCAATTATGGATATTATAGATGAATCATCATTGACAGGGGGGTTCCATCCCGACCCTGACGCCTGCTATGTATATTTGGAGTTTGTATGTTCTCCCCGTGGTCGCGTTGATTTTTTTCTCCGGGTCCTCCGGGTTTTCCCTCCACATTTACAAACATACATTGAGGTTGTTTAGATTATTTTGGTGCTATTAATGTCCAAACGATGGGCCACGTTGTTGATCTATCATTTGTGGCCAGGCCGCTTTTGAAACACAAGTTCATACCTCAGTGGGCTTTGTCTGTCTGGTAGGATGGGGATGGTTTATTTATATTTGTTTGTGTTTGGGTGATTTGTTGACCTTTCTTGTACTTTGCACTACTATCGTGTGTTTGTGCTGTTTGTTGTTGTGACGTTCTTACCCGCCCCTACTGGACATCTGTGAAAAAGAGCTTTTATAGCTCATCGGATTCCTCCACTTTTGAAACAGATTCTGATTCTGAAATAGTGTCCTGCTTTGCTGCAGATCACCAACATGCGTATCACATCTCTAACAATAACAAAATTAGCAGTCCTGAGCGAATGCTGGAAATTCCACATTCCTATGTCAGTAGAGTATATCTCTAGGCTCTCAGGCAGTGGTTCTCAATCTTGTTTGGCTACTCTTCCCCTTGTTGAAGTTTGCTTCAGCCGAGTACCTGACCCAAAGTGGTTCTGAGAAATACATGCATGAATAAAGAACGTCAATATTTGAACCAATTGTTCGTTTTGTGAGGTATAGCCTCACTAGCTAGTAACTGCAAGCGAATAAAACAAGACATTCAACGGACGCTCTGCATGCATCACGTAATGTCTTCCCGCTCGCTGGTTACTCTCGGAAACCGACCTTGTTTATGATCAGTGAGTTTATCAAGGTATTTTATATCGTTCTAGGTTACCGTATGGATTTCAAATGTTATCGTCGTTTTTTTTATGTTGGCAGATTCATACAACATGATTATTCACCCATGACTCTCACGTGTGTTATAATTTGACGTTTTTATAAATCACCTCACGTACCCCCGACGGTCCGTGTACCCCCGCTTGAAAACCACTGCATCAAGGACAACCATGGTTGGCTTGTTACCAAATTGGCACGGCCCCGACTGGTAATGACCGCTTTACCGATCCCATAGTAAGGATGCTGACTGATCATTGAAGGTGGTTGTGGCAGGGGTAGCATAGCATGGTTGACTAGGTATTGTGCGAAATAAGTTCAACATACGTACGGAAGATGATTCCACCCAAGCCAGGATATGGACTTCTGGACCAACAACTGGAAACCCTCCCCTTCCACCGATTAATCCAGGCTTTGGCTGTACATGAATTAAAACGAAGAAGCAGTGGCATAGCTATCAAGTTTGTAGGTGGTGCAACTGCACGTGGGACTACAGGCCGGAGAGACACAGGTTATGTGCTACGAGTAGGGTAGGGGAGGGGGGGGAATTGGAGAAGGCAGGACTCAGTTCCATGATGTGCACCATAATCCGTGTGTGATAGCGTGTGCCATCCCATGAGTGAGCGTGTGTGTGTGTATGGGTAGCGGTAGTGTAGCAGTTAGCGCGCTGCGCTACAAACCTTGTGACCCGAGTTCGATTCCCATGCAGGGCCAACATCGGTGATGATTATCTGAACCGGTCTTGGGCCTCCCCTAGGTCGACTCAGCCTGGCGTGTAAACATCACCACTGGGGAGACAGAGGCAGGCCGGGCGTGGTGTTGGCCACCCACTCCCTCGTGTGCCGTGCCGGCCTTCATCGGTGCTCGCTAACAGCACTCGTCCCAACAGTCTGTTCAGGCTATGCACGGGATCTTTGTCTATTATTTTTGTGGGGAGCGGTAGTGTCGTGGTTAGTGCTACAAACCCGGTGTCCCAAATTCGATTCCCGCTCACAGCCAACACCATTGACGATTATCTGAACTGAACCTTGGGTTTCCCCTAGATCAACTCAGCCTCATATTAGTTCCTGGGTGCGGTGTGTAAACATCGCCACTGGGCAGACATAGGCAGTCAGGCGTGGTGCTGGCCACCCACCCCCTCGCGTGGCGTGCCGGCCTTCATTGGTGTTCACTAACAGCACTTGCCCCAATGGGCTGTAAAGGCTATACGGGTTGTCTTTGTCAATTGCACCCGCAGTTCTCAAGTCGGAGAAGGAGCTGCACGAGGTGGCGCGCAGGAACGACGTGGTGCGTCTGCGCGAGCTCATCAAGAAGGGCGTCGACGTCAATGCCAAGAGCAGCGTGCGTGAGCCGAGAGCGTTCGGCACGGTGGTGCGACAGCACCGAGATTCCACGGCCGAAGGGGCCCAGGCGCCGGGTGTACGAAGAGGATGAGGGCTTTGAAATGCATTGTGGTCCTGCAGGTCCTGTGGAGAGACTGCCTCCATCATGGCAATGTGCAATTTTTCCATCACTGACTCGGGGCTGCCAGCCGAGATGAGCGATGCCCCACTGCCACTTTCAACGTGGAGGAGACCACCTTGACTGAACAGCCTCGTGGGCTGGAAGCCACTGTGATGCAGGGCCCATCTGATTGAGGGCAACGTTAAGATCCAAAGTGCTGCATTTCCAAAATATATATGCGGACAACGTGTGCACATTGTGCCACTTTAATTAACTGTTTCCTAGTTATGAAAAAAATACCTTAATCTTCACTCATTTATGTACCCATAGAAGTCTTAAATGAGCGTCAATACTTCATGACGAGTCTTGAGACTCGCCTTTACTATTTAATCAGCCGCAGTCCGTAACTCGTCGTGCTGCAACTCGCGGACGAGGTCAGCTCAGCCCGCAATCAGCACCCGGGTCGCCTCGCATCGATCTGAGACCAAACTGTCCCATTGCGTGCGTCCCAAGCCTTAATCGGGCCCAGCAGAGTGATGCGGCTAACTCAGCAATCATCGTCACTGAACATTTTCTATACAAGTGCCATCTAAGGTTTCTCTGTGACAGGAGACCCCAGTGGCAGCTGCCCCTGCAAGTGGACATTCGTCTGCCAGTAAGGGGACGGTGGCGCTATGTGGATTCCCCAATTACATGAAATCATTTCGGAGTAATTGATGAAATGTGCGCGCGCAGGTGGACCGCACGGCACTGCACCTGGCGGCGGGCAGCGGGCAGGAGGAGGCGGTGAAGGTTCTGCTGGAGCACGAGGCCGTGGTGGACAGCGAGGACAAGGTGGGGACCTTGCCCCACGCCTCCCGGGGCCTCGGCTGAAGATGTTTGATGATCACACTACTCACTCGCTCCCTGCCTACCTCTCCTCTCTCATCTCACTCTCCTCCCCTCCGTCCACTCTCCTATCTCTCCCCTCTCATCTCACTCTACTCACCTCCGCGCACTCTCCTACCTCTCATCTCACTCTCCTCCCCTCCATCCACTCTCCTATCTCTCCCCTCTCATATCACTCTCCTTACCTCCACCCACTCTCCGACCTCTCATCTCTCATTTCACTCAACTCCCCTCCACGCACTGCCCTGCCTCTCATCTCGCTCTACACCACAAATGCCCAAACTGCTCTGCAAATGGATTCTTGAGCTCGCCATAATATAACACCGATAGCACAATGGGAATTACATTGGGGGACAATATGTTTTTAAAGTTGATTTTTTTTTATTATTGGATATTCCGTGACTGCGTTTTGTGTTGTCACCACCCAGTTTGGCATGAATGCGCTGCTGCTTGCCTCCTGGTTCGGTCACCGCAAGGTGGTGCAGATGCTGGTGTCCGCGGGGGCAAAGGTCACGTGCGAGAATAAGGTGAGAGCCAGTGGCCCAGTGGGCCAGCCGTCGAGTGTGCAGGCGGTTCAACTGTACCAGGGCCTAGGGGCCCGAGGGGCCCTGGCGCTTTGCTACAAACAGTGGGGGAAGTTGGACAAGGGACCGGGCCCCCTTTCATTGCTGGCACCAGGGCCCATGCGGACCACGCTGCGCCAATGGAGAGAGCCAACCACCCACGTGTTGTGTTTGCCCCACCGAGCCGCGTGGTGATGTCGCGTGCGTGCATGCGTTCGTTCCTGCCTGTGTGTGGGTGTGTGTTCATTGCGACGCTTACAACAAGCAGAGCGCTGGGCGGCCAAAACACAGCAAGGTGTCACACTGGAGAGAGCAGGTGCTGAATCTGCCAGTCATCGCAGTCAATTAACCTGGGTCTGTGCCGTGACCTGCCAGAAAGCCTTTAACGCTTCATGCGCTTTCAAAGTGTACCTAGCCTGGCACAGGAGCTTAATGGTGGATGACGGCTGTTGTGTGTGCGTGAGTCTGGTAGCACGGTGTGAGCGGTCGGAATATAAATTTTCGACCCCTTCATGATTAATTGCATTGTAGCGATTCAGGGTCGCCATTACATTCATCAATCAATTATATTATAGCATCGTGGCCTCTAGTGGCTGGAGGGATGAAACGATCCTAGACAACCAACACAGCACGATTCGCGCCGCGATTCACAAGCTACAATGGAAACGCCCTTCCTCTCACGTGCGATTTCACGTACGCATTGCGAGCCTTGAGCATGGATTCTACGTCTTTGCTCGCTGCACGACGACTGAAGGTCTTCTCTGACGCTGGGGCAGACCCCTTCTTTCCAACTCTTGGGTCTCTTGTTCGACGCGTAGTGGATTTCTGTGCTTTCCCACTCGAGTGGGCGATACTGATGGTTCTACGAATGGGGGGCGGGGGGTGGTGGTGGTGGGTGGGCTGGTCTCTCCATTTGTCTGCGTGGACCCCCCCTGCCCCCCCCCCCACCAGAGCGGGCTCACCGTGCTGCACTGTGCTGCCCAGCGCGGCCACGCCGCCGTGATGCAGTTCATCATCGAGGACCTGGAAGACCTCGACATCGACAAGACCACAAAGGTTTCTTGTTTACGCTCGTTTATATTTAAATACAAAATACCAGTAAAGGCCCACTGAGCTAGAGAGCTGTTTTTCAGAAGCGACCTGGCCACAAATGAAAGCTCAACGAAGTGGCTGATGCTGGTAGGAACCTCCTGGTTATACCAGCCCACAAGGGATTATTGTGTCCGTCCGTCGTGCATCCAAAAATGGGAAGGGTGGGGCTGGGTGGCGAGGGGAGGGTGGGGAGGGACTGGGTGGGGAGGGTGGGGTTGGGTGGGGAGGGGAGGGTGGGGAGGGGAGGGGCTGGGTGGGGGGTGGGAGGGGTGGGGCTGGGTGAGGAGGGGCTGGTCACCCCGTGGTGCCCTTATAAAACTCAACGTTTAACCTACTCACGCGGGATTGTGCCCGCCCTCACAGTCGGGCATGTTTGCGGAATACACCACGTGGTGCCGCCGTTGACCCTGGCCATTGACCGAGCAACCCAACGTTCCTACCAGCTCCCTCCGCAGGAATGTGTTTGTCACGTGGAAATTCGGAGCAACCAAATACTCAAAACGCACGTTGATTCTAAATGTGGAGGGGAAAACCCGGAGAAAATTCCACGTGACTACAGGAAGCGAGAACTCCAAATATAGAGGCGTCGGGGTCGGGATCGAACCCACAACCTCCTGCATACGAGGCGAGGGAGTTAACATCTCGCCACTCTGGGCTGTGCCACGCTCTCCGCGCTCACCGTGTTGTGCTGTAGTAAGGACAGTGACGCGGTTCAGCGGTAACGCGTTCGCCGCTTGTTGCAGAGGCTCACAGTTCAAATCCAGCGGCCACCCTGGTTAATACTGTAGCGTGTGATAACCGTAAAAGCACTCCACGCCACCTGCTTTGTGGCCGTTAAAGATCCCCTGACGTCATTCTCGAGAGTGGACCAATCGTGTGCTCTGGAATGGCCAAATGACACAGCGAAAAAAATCACTCATTTGGGATTACACGTGGCAATCATCGCCCTCTACTGACAGACGAGATGCTCCCAGGTGACAATTTCCTTGTCTCTTTGAGTTCACAACCTGGACAAACGAAATCAACGTGGCTCTATGGATGTGACCGCGTGACGCGCTGGGACCTCTGCGCGTGCCCCCTCCCCCATCCCCCTGCGGACCAGCTGGGTCAGACGGCGCTGCACCTGACAGCAGAGGAGGGCCAGCTGCAGGCTGTGGAGTACCTGCTCTCGTGCGGCAGCTCCCTCGCCATGCGCGACAAGGTGAGACGCGCTGACACAAGCCCCCCCCCCCCCATGCTGCCCATCCCTCCCCGCCCCCCGCCTAAAAGGGATTGGGACCTCCTCACTCTCAGCAGTTGGAATAGATCGTGGCAGGGTTTCTTTTTCAGCGCCATTCCTCTCGCAACCCACCACGCCGTGGCTTCCTCGTCCACCAGTTTACTTACACTCGAATGCAAAGTAAGTTGTCGCACGAAACGCGCAACACGCGCCTGATGATTGCGAAACCTCTCCCATGAGTGTTGATTAATCCTAACCCGCCAACTCTGTGCAGTGGCAGCGATATGGAGCCTGTAAGAGTGTAAGGGGTAGTACAGCAATTTGGTTGTTTACAGTAATAGAAATGAAACACTTTGTAACTCACACAAATGTTGTGAAACTCATTCATCGTAGTCGGGTCGCGGAGACGCAGGGCACTGGCTCGCGGTTCCTCGGGTGCGGTCCTGAACGAGCCTGCAAGCTCCGTATATGGAGCGGTGGAGAGAGTTCCGGACGTCCCGAGCAGCCACGGACAATCGCTGCCGCTAGGGTCAGAGCAGTCCTGGTTCTGGGGACGATCAGCAGCAGATCTCGAGAGGCGCTCCAGATGATGCAGAGGTTCGAGGAGAGCGAAGAGATACGAGCGGCTGACCTTGTTGACCTCTACACCGCAGGGGTGGTGTAGTTGCAGCCCGCGCAGCCAGCACGCTCCATGGCTACGCCCTGGCCTTGCAGTCCCCTCGGCGCACGGCTTCGAGGCTGAGCGGTGTTTCTGTTGAGCCAGGCGATGTCCGCCGCGTGTCCGTGTGTCGTCCTTCCCCGCACTGCCTCCCTCCGTCTCCTTCCTGCAGGACAACAATTCGCCGCTGCACCTCGCGGCCGGGCGAGGCCACCTCGCCGTCGTGAAGAAGTTGCTAGAGGCCGGCGCCGAGATGGATGGCAGGAACACGGTGTGTTACCGATCGGTGTGGCGACCACGCCCCGGACGGGTACCTGGTGCGGTGTGCAGTCGACGTCGCCACGAGGGAGCCAAAAGGCGTCACGTGCTTGTGTTGGCCTTCATTAAGCGCTCGCTAACAGCACTTGCCCCAACACCCCGTGAAGGCGAGGGACCGGACCTTTGCCTTTGCGTGCGTGACACGAGCGGTGCGTTTGTTTGACGTCGTCGTAACTTGGTCGCGAATCTCCGACTGCCGTTGTGCGTGCGCGTTCGCAACGCGTGCGCGTGCCTGCCCGTGTGTGCAATCACGTCCAAGCACGAGCGTGCGCGTGTGTGCGAATCCCAGGCGGGACAGACGTCTCTGCATCTCGCGGCCGAGGGCGGGCATCACCACTGCGTGCAGCTGCTGCTGTCCTCCGGCTGTGACATCGATGCACAGTCGAGCGTGAGTTCGCAGCAATTAACCAATTCACTCGTGGGCGCTCTCCTCCCTCTCTTTCTCTTCACGATCCGCATGTCCGCCGACGTTCTCTGCCCGATAAACGACGACGGTAGCATGGCGGCACGCTCGCTCGTTCGCTCGCCGTGCTGCAACTGCTGATGGCAGATTCCCCCCTGAGGAAAAACGAGCGCGGGGTATATGTTTGAGATAAAGGCGCAGCCCTGCAACGTCCCATCTAAGAATCCCCTGCTGGCGGAATGGCCACCGCTGGAGGGAGCTCCAGAGAGCTAACCCAGAGGGCATTTCATGGGCGGGCATCTTGAGAGAGATGAATGCACCCACAATTTACCCTGCCATACGTGACCGAACGATTAGCTCGGTTGGCTGCGTACAGTGCGAAAGAAGTTGAACATACACACACGTGTCCATATAACTGTGGAGTATCCATCCATACCGCTGGGCGGAGACGGACGAACGGATTTAAGAAACGCACCCCATTGCGTCAACTTCCCCCGCCGCCGGGGAGGTCGAATCGATCTGGCGACCCCCGGGTTTGCCAGCCCACCGTATGAACCACCGTTTCTCACGCAGGGCTGGACCATGGCCACAGCGGCCATGGTCCCCGTTTTTTTGGAAGCCAACCCTCGCCAAATGTGTCAACTCTTTTCATTGCAACCGAATTCCATCGTTTATTTGGAAGCGTTTGATTCCATTCGCCCTCATTTTGGCGGTGGGGGGAGGGGGGGGCTCCGTGCCGCTCGTTTACGTTCGCTACCAGCAGTGGCGTCAAACCTTCCGCCATGGCCGCTGCTGCTGCTGCATCGCTGTGAACCCGTACGGTTTACCCCGTATTCTTGTACAGGGAAATCGAGTTTTCGGGTCCGTATGGCGTACTGCCGTTTCAATACGGGCAAACAAAAAAAAACATGTTTTCTGTTTCTCCCTTGTGATGGGGCTTTGTAGGATGAACGATGAGATTTACAATGGCACGGGGGGGTGACCAATAAGGTCTGAATTGGTCTGTAATAAGGTAGGGCACTGATAAGGCTGCTTCACAGGTTTGCTGCTGCTGTGCTGAGCCAACGATGCAGGCCGCTAACTTGAGAGTGGCGGCGTCGTTGGGAACGTCGACGTGGGGCGGCCTCCAGCCGAGTCCGAGGCCACAGGGCAAGCAGCACAGTTTGAGTTCGCGGAAGGCCAAGTCCACGTCCAGCCAAATCGAACGTCCTGATTGTGTCATTTATTCATGTCCTGAATGTGTCATTTATTCGTGCACGATCGAGTCCGTCGGCTGTGCCGCATCACTCCCGTTAAGTTGCGTGCGGGGGAGCCATCCACCGGTCCGGTGACTCGATCCATTGTCGTGATTCGCCGTTTTGCTTCGATCGTTTTCTCTATCTCCGTGACTGCGGTGGGCAGAGCCGCATTTGACACGAGATTTCCGTGCGGATTATTGGCGACCGCGCTGAGACCGTCGACCTGCCTGTAGAACGCCGCGGTTTCACCACGGGACCCGGATTCGAACTCAGGGCCACTCAGCGGTGCCGGCTCCGCGCTCCGACCTCTGGGCCAACCCCCGGGGCAACTCCCTTGCATTTGTTGAACACGTAGCAGGCGTTCGCGAACAATATTATTATTCATAATAGAGGTGCGTGGGTTAGATCTCGAAAGTATAAATGTGTCGTTAAACCCGCCACCACAAGAGACACAGCTAACTACTAGTACAGCACACTGGTTGTGTGTTGGAGAGAACTCGTAACGAATTGGCACGTTTTGTTTACATGACAAACCTGGTCGATTGGCTGTGTCGGGTGGCGGTGGGTTTAGCGACACACGTGGACATCGCTTGCATTTCTCCCCCAAAATAGGTCAACGTGGTGTGTGTGGTGTGTGTGTGTGGTGTATGTGTGTGTGTGGTGTGTGTGGTGTGTGTGGTGTGTGTGTGTGGTGTGTGTGGTGTGGTGTGTGTGATGTGTGTGCGGTGTGTGTGTGTGGTGTGTGTGTGTGTGTGTGTGGGTGTGTTGGGTGGTGTGGGGGTGGTGGTGTGTGTGGTGTGTGTGTGGTGTGTGGTGTGTGGGGTGTGTGGTGTGTGTGTGTGTGTGGTGTGTGTGTGGTGTGTGTGGCGTGTGTGTGTGGTGTGTGGTGTGTGTGGCGTGTGCGTGGTGTGGTGTGTGGTGTGTGTGGTGTGTGTGGTGTGTGTGTGGTGTGTGTGGTGTGTGTGGTGTGTGTGGTGTGTGTGGCGTGTGTGTGGCGTGTGTGGTGTGTGGTGTGTGTGGTGTGTGTGGCGTGTGCGTGGTGTGTGTGTGGTGTGTGTGGTGTGTGGTGTGTGTGGTGTGTGTGTGTGTGGTGTGTGTGGTGTGTGGTGTGTGGTGTGTGTGGTGTGTGTGGTGTGTGTGGTGTGTGTGTGTGGTGTGTGTGGTGTGTGTGGTGTGTGTGTGGTGTGTGTGGTGTGTGTGTGTGGTGTGTGTGGTGTGTGGTGTGTGTGTGTGGTGTGTGTGGTGTGTGTGGTGTGTGTGGTGTGTGTGGTGTGTGGTGTGTGGTGTGTGTGGTGTGTGTGGTGTGTGTGGTGTGTGTGTGTGTGTGGTGTGTGGTGTGTGTGGTATGTGTGGTGTGTGGTGTGTGTGTGGTGTGTGTGTGGTGTGTGGTGTGTGTGTGGTGTGTGTGGTGTGTGTGGTGTGTGTGGTGTGTGTGGTGTGTGTGTGTGGTGTGTGTGTGGTGTGTGCGCGCAGAAGAGTATGACGGCGCTGCACTACGCAGCGCGCAGTGGGCACGACGAGGTGGCGCAGCTCCTCATCCGGGGCGGCATCGCCGTGGATGCCGTGGACCACGTAAGGATGGGGGGGGGGCAGAGGTTTGGCGGTGAGCGGTGGGGAGATGGACGGTGAAGTGGTTTGGTTGGTCCATCCTGAACTCGCTGATTCATCACGGCCACTCTCTCGCCGTCGTTCTTGAGATCAGTGTTTGTGTGTTTAGTTTGTCGTCTTTCCCTCCCCCCTCCACACCTCCGATTAGCACGGCTGGATACGTACGGCGCGACAGATGTTCCACGTGCGTATTTAAGTCACACACGGGCGCGTGGATTCCTTCAACACGTACTTAAGAGTCACACACGGACGTGTGGACTCCTTCAACACGTACTTAAGAGTCACACACGGGCGTGTGGACCCCTTCAACACGTACTTAAGAGTCACACACGGGCGTGTGGACCCCTTCAACACGTACTTAAGAGTCACACACGGGCGTGTGGACTCCTTCAATACGTACTTAAGAGTCACACACGGGCGCGTGGACTCCTTCAACACGTACTTAAGAGTCACGCACGGGCGCGTGGACTCCTTCAACACGTACTTAAGAGTCACACACGGGCGTGTTGACTCCTTCAACACGTACTTAAGAGTCACACACGGGCGCGTGGACTCCTTCAACACGTACTTAAGAGTCACACACGGGCGCGTGGATTCCTTCACCACGTACTTAAGAGTCACACACGGGCGCGTGGACTCCTTCACCATGGCCATTGGCCTCCTGAGCTTCGCGCAGTGCTGCCTCCACCAATGTCAAGGCCTCGCTCTGCCACCCTTCACCCGTTTGCTTTCATCCGCACCGAGCTCGAACACCCACACAGTGGAGAGACACCCAACGTTGCTCTCCCTCCGTGTTGTCCGTGCACCGCTCCACTTTGGGATTGTCGTCCGTTGTCCCCTTTTTCTCCGCTTTTTTCCCCCAAGCCATCGTCCGATCGGCTCGCTCCAAGGTCAAGGGATGCACGGGGTTCCATCATCATCTGCCGCACGATCACTGGCGCCTCCTAATCATAACGCGGCTGCTTTTCATTGTGAGCCTTCAGGCCTGGAGCTTAGCAGCTCAGATACCGTGGGTGGGAGGGTAGGAAAACGCCGCCTTTGCAAGGTGATTTTGTGCGACGTTCACGTGCGTCTGGAATGGCTGCAGCTTTTAGGATTATGGGGGGGGGGGGAAATAAATATAATGTATCTACAAAACAAATAGTCTACAAGATGCGGGATAAAGAATCAATGGAGTCCTTGAAATGTGAATCCGTGAGGCTTTTTCAGAGTCACAGAGCAAGTGTTTGCAAACGGTCAAAGCAATAAAAACAAACGATTTAAACTGCAGCGCTTTGCAACCTCATCGAGCTCGTTAAGTGAGGCTGCTCTTGCCCTAGCGGTGAGATTGGTGGGGACAGATGCCGCCCCATCCTGTGCGAGAGCCTCTGTCCCACCGCTCCTCCTCTCCCTCCCCGCTCCCTCCCCTCTGCCTCCATGGGAGATGTCTCTCTGCGCGAAGACTTTTACCAGCAGAGCGCGATGGGAATTGAAGAGCGTGCCGCTGCGGGTGCCGCGCCTGGCAGTGAGGGTGGGTGGGCAGGGCTGGTTCGTAGGGTGCCCACCACATCTCCCTCTCGTGCACTCCACCCGGTTTTAATAGGCGCTCGCTAACAACATCCCTCGTCTGCTGGCGTGGGCGAGGCCGACCGCGGGGCCCATGGGCGCGCTCGCTCGCGCGAGGCCGCCCGTCGTGACGCGGCGCGGTTGGCTACGTACGGTACGAAAGAAGTTCAACATACAGTAGACACGTAACGAACTCTGTCGCCGTTGTCGTTCGGCAGCACCACGCCACGGCCATGCAGCTCGCCGTCCTCCACAACTTCCCGGCCATCGTGAAGCTCATCATCGACGCTGACGGGGACCTGGACATCGCCGACAACGTCCGTGAAGCACGCTCGCCGCTCGCGTGTTCGCGCTCTCGCATGCGCTCGCATGCCCTCATTCGCACACCCACGCGGCGTTCATGTACGGGTGATGTCGGGGCTGCCGTGGTGTGGAGTTAGATGCGGCGTTAATGTTAGAGTGATGTTGGCGCGTTGCCATGGTGGTGGTGTTGAGCGTCGCCATGGTGTTGAGTTTTTATGCGGTGTTCAGGTAAGAGAGCTGCTGCGGTGATGTTGGGGTTGACGGGTCATTGGGGTTGCCCAGTTGTCAGACATTGAATGGCATTGCGGTGGGCGTGGCGTGAGGCTCAAAGTGCGCGTGCTGGTGTGGGCTGCTGTAGCCGGTGCTGATGTTGGCGTCGCGTGGTTGTGGATGCGCGAGCCGTGCTCTCTCCGCTGCTGTGCTGTGCGCGGCGTGCAGAGGCAGCAGACCCCCCTGCACGTCGCGGCAGAGCACGCGCGGCAGGACATCGCCGAGATGATCCTCATCTCCGGCGTCAACCTGAAGCTCGTGGACAAGGCAAGGGGCGGCCTTCGCTTCTCAGATCCGCAACCCATTGTCACGTTAATTAGTCTCGTTGTTAACACTTTCCCGTTCTGATGACGTATGTGTACATCATCAGTTTTTTTTCCTCTGGTTCCGTTCTGATGACGTTCACGCGCGTACACGTTTGTCATCAGAACAGAATGTCATCAGAATGGAATCGGAAGAAAACATTTACTAAAATAACTTCATTGGTACCAAGGCTCCCACAAGGCCATGCAGGAGGGCGTGTGGCACAATATGGTGCTCGCTATCATAGAGTGCGGTCGTGTCGGTACAGTTCTCTGTGGTGAGTACAGCGTCTTTAAAAACAACAGCCCTACGCCTCTCAATAAAATTAATGCTGAAACGCTCGCACATTCCGAGATTCGGTGGTGAACGGGACACCCACCCTGCAACTTGCAGACATCTCGGAATGGGAAAGGGGTTAATTACTCTACTTGTTTATCCAGGTAAGCCCCGCTGAGCCTCAAGGATCTTCATGTCAGGAAGGTCCTGCCAAGTATTTGCACGATTGTTACGTATTCCGCAATTAGTTTATTTTGTTATCCTTTCCCCGCACCTCCGATGAGCACGGTTGGCTATGTTCTAAATCGAACCAAACATTAAACTAATTTTCAATGGTACAGTATATTTTTCAAGTAGTGGTACCCCAAACTTTCGCAGCTCTTAAATTCCCTTTTCACACCATCAATAGGGAAACCCCCCCCCCCCCCCCCGCGCCAACCGGCATGTGCACCCGCATGTACACCACCTCTATGCTAAGTCGGCCAATCAAATGCTAATTTTTATGCTAATTCCTTTGTCAAGGCACCTTGTTTCCTCGCACACAGCTTAAAGGTCGCGGTCTGAGCGTGGCTGTGTTTCACTCCAGCGCTGTCCTCGAGACAGCCTGATCCCTTCACCTGATGAAGGCCGCTTGTGTTGTGGCCGCAACGTCGTGATTATTGTTGTTATATTTTTTTACCTACGTGACTTTACCGAATAGAACCAAAGAGTATAGTGCGAAATAAGTTCAACATACATACGCATACCCACCACTCACAGTGGCTGTGGCCTCAGCTGGTACCCACATAGCCCCGACTCGACCGCTGAAGGGTTGTTCCGCGCCGCTCGCACGCGCGCACGAGCGAACACAAGCACGCGCGACGATCCCATCGACTACGTTGACCCCACCACGATTGTGTCCCCGTAGCAGGGGAAGACTTCTCTGGACATCGCAGCCCGGGGAAACCACATCAGCATGGTGGACATGATCATAAAGGCCGACCGGTTCTACAAGTGGGAGAAGGTGTGGATGTGTGGGTCCTGCGGCGTCCCGTGCGTCCCGTCATCTCCGGGTCCCCGCCTGCACCTCGAACGCTCCAGTGTCGTGAGACGCAGTCGCGTTCCGCCGCTTTATCATTACAAATTATAATTTAACTTTAAACTGTGAAGGCAAAGGTGCAGCCCTGCGATTGCTTGATCATGCCACTGCTGATGGAGTGTCCGCCACGAGAGAGAGAGCTCTTCTAAAGGGTGTTTTATGCCTATTCTTCCATGATGACGAGATGTCTTTGAGGATGTAGGAGTACCCACATTTTATCCCACCACACGTGCCTCTCCGTGATAAATTATGATGACAATTGCATTGTAAATGGTTGATGCATTGTAGATAATATTTGAATTCATATGACGTCTAGATAAAAAAAAATATCTCTAGACACTGTAACTTCACAATTCAGGCTGTGAGCTGTTCAGGTCCTCACCTGTTCAAGCCCTCACCCGTTCAGGAATTCACCTATTTACACCCTCACCTGTTCAGGTTTGTATACGGCGGACTTTGAGTTCTGGCTCCTCGCCTCTTGAGTTCTCGATCGAACATTCACTTCGTTAAAATCACCGTTGGATTAATAACATCTGTAAATTACGTTCATTTTTAATTTCTAGAAAATTACCCAAGACGGAAATAAAATCCACATCGCCTCTGCTCGTAGACTAATGCCCATTTTGCAAGCCGGTTCTGAGTACACCTTTGTGCCTTGTAGGGGAAGCTCCCACTGGGGGGGGGGGGGGGCTGGCTAGACTACAGAAGGGCGTTGAAATTGGATGGCATGAGGCGTGGCGCAATTACAGCAAGCGCCGTATAAATGGGAATCCTTATTCTGAGTTGGTAACTGATTGAATTACTGTACTAAGCTTTGAACTCTGACCGTGGCTCAAGATGATGTAAACATACGGGGTGGGGGGGGGGGGTGCACGTGGAAGATGGGAGGGACATTTGTTTTGGGAAGAGGCGGTAAGAAGCTGCAAGGAAGCGCATGGGAAGAATCGACTCGATGCACTTCACTGCAGAGATACTCGCGGGCAGAGGATAAGCAAAGGCTCTTGAGCATGAATCTGAACAATCAAAACATAGAGAGAGCTTATTCACTCCACCCACAAAGACAAAGATCCCCCATATGGCCTTAACAGACTGTTGGGGCAAGTGCTGTTAGCGAGCACCTGTGATGGCCAGAACGGTTCACAAAGGGGGTGGGTGGCCAGCACCACGCCCAGCCGCCTTTGTCTCCCCAGTGACGATGTTTTTACGCACCGCACCAGATACTCATTTGAGGCTGAGTCGAACTAGGGGAGGCCCAGGACCCGTTCAGATAATCGTCACCGGTGTTGGCCGTGAGCGGGAATCGAACTCGGTCGCCAGGTTTGTAGCGCTAACCACTACACTACCGCTCCCACGCCACCCACACAAACAGGGGGCTTATTCACTCCCATTTTATTTTAAGAGCGCAGGGACTGAGGAGTCCCTCGCCAGGGAAGGCAAAGGGAGGCAGAGAATGAAAGCTGCTTCACAGAGAGAGAGAGGGGACGTCTGGGGCACGCATTTCAATGTGTGGCACTTGAGGACTGCAGAGTGTGTGTGTGCGGTTGCGGTGGCTGCACTGAGATTGTTTAAAAATAAAGATCGGCGAATTCAGATGTCAACGACAGGCGCACTAACCATGGGCATGGAGACTTTTTGCAGGCGGATTTATTTACAATCTGAGACTCCAGCTCGAACCTTCAGTTCCTGCGCACGGGAAGTAACACTTTCATGTTTTCAGGCCCTTCCTCACTGCCTCACTGCTAAGCAACATCACTGCTGTCAATCTGACAATCAGAGGGCAGGAGAGTTTTGTCCTGCTTGGCCTAGCATTGAGCTCTCTGAGCAGTCATCTTGGCTGGGAAAGCAGTTTATAGCATCCTGATGACTTTTTTTCATGGGGGGTGGCGACTCTAAACTGACATCATCTGCCACACATGCGTGCGCTTGTGTGGTCAGGACAACCTCCCGAGCGAGTCGGACTCGTGGGTCCTCAAGCACCTGACGTTCAAGCAGGACCAGCGGCCGGAGACGGAGCACATGCGCTCCGTGCTGTGGCGTCTGTCCACGCAGCACCTCAAGGTGGGGGAGTGGAAGTGCCTGGCGCACCACTGGACCTTCACAGAGGCCCACATACGCGCCATCGAGCAGCAGTGGGCAGGTGATGCCGAGTGCGGCACAAGCACCCCCAGCGCCTCGCACACACACATCACCACACACACACATCAACACACACACACATCAACACACATCAACACACACACACATCAACACACACACACATCAACACACACACACATCACCACACACACATCAACACACACACACATCAACACACACACATCAACACACACACACATCAACACACACACACATCAACACACACACACATCACCACACACACACATCAACACACACACACATCAACACACACACACATCACCACACACACACATCAACACACACACACATCAACACACACACACATCAACACACACACACATCAACACACACACACATCAACACACACACACATCACCACACACACACATCACCACACACACACACATCAACACACACACACATCAACACACACACACATCACCACACACACACATCACCACACACACACATCACCACACACACACATCAACACACACACACATCAACACACACACACATCAACACACACACACATCAACACACACACACATCAACACACACACACATCACTACACACACACATCAACACACACACACATCAACACACACACACATCACCACACACACACATCACCACACACACACATCAACACACACACACATCAACACACACACACATCACCACACACACACATCAACACACACACACATCAACACACACACACACACATCACCACACACACACATCACCACACACACACACATCACCACACACACACATCAACACACACACACATCACCACACACACACATCAACACACACACACATCACCACACACACACATCAACACACACACACATCAACACACACACACATCAACACACACACACATCAACACACACACACATCAACACACACACACATCAACACACACACACATCACCACACACACACATCAACACACACACACATCAACACACACACACATCAACACACACACACATCAACACACACACACATCAACACACACACACATCAACACACACACACATCAACACACACACACATCACCACACACACACATCACCACACACACACATCAACACACACACACATCAACACACACACACATCAACACACACACACATCAACACACACACACATCACCACACACACACATCAACACACACACACATCAACACACACACACATCAACACACACACACATCAACACACACACACATCAACACACACACACATCACCACACACACACATCAACACACACACACATCAACACACACACACATCAACACACACACACATCACCACACACACACATCACCACACACACACATCAACACACACACACATCACCACACACACACATCAACACACACACACATCAACACACACACATCACCACACACACACATCACCACACACACACATCACCACACACACAGCCATCAACACACACACAGTCATCACCACACACACACAGCCATCACCACATACACACACACACATCACCACACACACACACATCACACACACATCACCACACACACATCAACACACACACACATCACCACACACACACATCACCACACACACACATCACCACACACACACATCACCACACACACACATCACCACACACACACATCAACACACACACACATCACCACACACACACATCAACACACACACACATCACCACACACACACATCAACACACACACACATCACCACACACACACATCACCACACACACACATCACCACACACACACATCAACACACACACACATCACCACACACACACATCAACACACACACACATCAACACACACACATCACCACACACACAGCCATCAACACACACACAGTCATCACCACACACACACAGCCATCACCACATACACACACACACATCACCACACACACACACATCACACACACATCACCACACACACACATATCAACACACACACAGACCCATCAACAAAAAACACACACCCATCACCACACACACACATCAACACACACGCACACACCCATCACCACACACACACAGCCATCAACACAGCCATCAACACACACACAGCCATCAACACACACACAACCATCACCACACACACACCCATCACCACACACACACACATCAACACACACACACACATCACCGCACGCACACACACACACACCCATCACCGCACGCACACACCCATCACCACACACCCATCACCACACGAACACACCCATCAACACGCACACACACGCACCCATCACCACACGCACACGCGCACACACACCCATCACCACACACCCATCACCACACGCAGACACGCACACAGCCATCACCACACGCACACACACCCATCGCCACATGCACACACACACACCCATCACCACACACCCATCACCACACATACACACCCAGCGCCACACACACGCACACAGACTCATCACCACACGCACACACACACACACACCCATCACCACACACCTATCACCACACGAACACACCCATCAACAAGCACACACACACACCCATCACCACACCACACGCGCACACACCCATCACCACGCACACACACACACCCATCACCAAACACCCATCACCACACGCACACACACCCATCACCACATGCACACACACACACCCATCACCACACACACACACACCCAGCACCACACACACGCACACACACCCATCACCACACTCACACACACACACCCATCACCGCACACACACACACCCAGCACCACACGCATCACCACACGCACACACACCCATCACCACGCACACACACACCCATCACCACACACCCATCACCACACACCCATCACCACACGCACACACGCACACACCCATCACTGCGAAGACACGCGCACACACCCATCACCACACGCACACACACACACCCATCACCACACGAACAAACCCATCAACACGCACACACACACCCATCACCACACACCCATCACCACACGCACACACACCCATCACTACATGCACACACACACACACCCATCACCACACACCCATCACCACAGACACACACACCCAGCACCGCACGCACACACACCCAGCACCACACGCATCACCACACGCACACACACCCATCACCACGCACACACACACACACCCATCACCACACACCCATCACCACACACCCATCACCACACGCACACACCCATCACCACACGCACACACACCCATCACCGCACGCACACACCCATCACCACACGCACACACCCATCACCACACACACACACACCCATCACCACACACACCCATCACCACACACACACCCAGCATCACACGCAGAGACACACACACACCCATCACCACACGCACACACCCATCACCACACGCACACACACACCCATCACCACATACCCATCACCACACGCACACACGCAAACACCCATCACCACACGCACACACACACACACCCATCACCACACACCCATCACCACACGCACACACACACACACCCATCACCACGCACACACACACACCCATCACCACACACCCATCACCACACGCACACACCCATCACCACACGCACACACACACACCCATCACCACACACCCATCACCACACGCACACACACACACACCCATAACCACGCACACACACACACACACACCACCCATCACCACACACCCATCACCACACGCACACACACCCATCACCACACGCACACACGCACACACCCATCACCACACGCACACACACCCATCACCACACGCACACACGCACACACCCATCACTGCGAAGACACGCGCACACACCCATCACCAAACATGCACACACCCATCACCACACACACACACCCATCACCACACACACACACGCACACACCCATCACTAGGAAGACATGCGCACACACGCCCATCAACACACACACACCCATCACCACACACACACCCATCACCACACACCCCCATCACCACACACACCCATCACCACACACACCCCACCCATCACCACACACCCATCACCACACACACACCCATCACCACACACCCCCATCACCACACACACCCATCACCACACACACCCCACCCATCACCACACACCCATCACCACACACAACAACAACAACCGCCATTCGCCACTAAGTGGCGGTGACGTCACCACGACGCTTGTGCCAGGCTATGTGCACTCTGAGGCCACGTGAAGTGTCGAACGCCCGCTGGCAGGAGGTCACTGGGCAGACCCAGGTGCCACGGGTCGACTGACTGAGATGACTGGCTGATGCACCACCTGTGCCCCCTACTGTGCCAACCTGCTGTGCTTTATCCACCCGGCGCTCCGCTCGTTGTTCGGAGCGTCGCTCCTCCGTCCTCCGTTGTTGTTGGAGGGCGACTGCCTCCAACTGCCCAGTAGCGTCCTTCACGAGCCTCCTCCACAGAGGCCGATCTTGACACCGCTGGTACCAGTCATCGGCAAGTCCACTCAGCTCCACGTCTCCCTGTACCACATCACTCCATCGCTTCTCTAGCCCGTGCCGCGCCCGTTTAGCCCCCTTGATCCGGCCGAACAAAAGCTGTTTCGGCATGCGGTGGCTGGGCATGCGGGCTACATGACCCAGCCAACGCAGCCTTGCCTGCCGGAGGAGCTCACCGATGGGACCTTGCCCAGATCTTTCAAGGATTTGTGAGCTCCTCACACAATCCAGCCTGGTTAAACCCAGGATGGATCGTAGGCAGGCCAGCCTAAATGTTTCTAACCGGCGAAGATGTTCCATTAGGGGGGTCCACGTTTTGCAAGCGTAGAGAAGGGAGGGAATGACCGTGGCCGAGAATACCTGAAGCTTAGTGCGGAGCGACAGACCAGGTCGCTTCCACACAGCGTTACGCAACCGACGAAAAGATATTGCCGCTCGACTGATTCGGAGTGAGACCTCTGCTGTTAAACTGGAGCCGGTCATAAGCACACTGCCCAGGTATGGGAAACTCTCCACTCTCTCTACAACTGCCCCATCACCGATTGTGAGTTGTGGGGGTGGAATGTCCGATGGTACAAAATACCCAGGCAGGTGCTTAGTTTTGGTGGGGCTGATGGTAAGGCCCCATCTCTTAGTGGAACGCTCCAGTCTCAGCAGCAGCGTCTCCAACTCCTCCTCTGAATGAGCAGCTATTACCAAATCATCGGCATGCATAACGTGGTTGAGCAATAGGGAGCCATCCCTTGACCGCACCCGGGCATCACCATACACACCCATCACCACACACCCCCAGCACCACACACACACAACCCATCAGCACACACGCACACACACACCCCAACACACGCACACCCCCAGCACCACGCATGCTTAGCACCACATACACACACATCCTGCACCATACACACACAAGCAGCACCGTAAACACAACCAGCACTACACACACCCAGCACCACCCATCCTGCTATGGGTGTTCCTGGCATGAATTCAACAACGCTGCCGTTTTTTGTCTCTTACCCTGTCTGTGACCCCCTCTCTGACCCTGTCTGTGACCCCCTCCCTGACCCTGTCTGTGACCCCCTCTCTGACCCTGTCTGTGACCCCCTCCCTGCCCCTGTCTGTGACCCCCTCCCTGCCCCTGTCTGTGACCCCCTCCCTGCCCCTGTCTGTGACCCCCTCCCTGCCCCTGTCTGTGACCCCCTCCCTGCCCCTGTCTGTGACACCACCTCTGACCCTGTCTGTGACCCCCTCTCTGACCCTGTCTGTGACCTCCTCCCTGCCCCTGTCTGTGACCCCCTCTCTGACCCTGTCTGTGACCTCCTCCCTGCCCCTGTCTGTGACCCCCTCTCTGACCCTGTCTGTGACCCCCTCTCTGACCCTGTCTGTGACCCCCTCCCTGCCCCTGTCTGTGACCCCCTCCCTGCCCCTGTCTGTGACCCCCTCCCTGCCCCTGTCTGTGACCCCCTCTCTGACCCTGTCTGTGACCCCCTCCCTGCCCCTGTCTGTGACCCCCTCTCTGACCCTGTCTGTGACCCCCTCCCTGCCCCTGTCTGTGACCCCCTCCCTGCCCCTGTCTGTGACCCCCTCCCTGCCCCTGTCTGTGACACCACCTCTGCCCCTGTCTGTGACCCCCTCCCTGCCCCTGTCTGTGACCCCCTCCCTGCCCCTGTCTGTGACACCACCTCTGCCCCTGTCTGTGACCCCCTCCCTGCCCCTGTCTGTGACCCCCTCCCTGCCCCTGTCTGTGACACCACCTCTGACCCTGTCCCCTGGCCCTGCCTCCCAACGTGCGCTCGCTGCAGGCAGCAAAAGCTACAAGGAGCATGGCCACCGCATGCTGCTCATCTGGCTGCACGGCGTCCTCACGGCCAGGGAGAATCCCATCAAGAGTCTCTACGAGGGCCTCGTGGGCATCGACCGCCTCGACTTGGCCGGTGCGGGGCGAGCTAAAACCCCTACACACACACACGGTGCTTTAAAAAAATGTGAACACTTCTGAGAATTTGCAACAATGCCACGAGAAATGTGGCGAACAAGTGGAGACTCTTTGACCTTTTCAAGCTATTAACATACATTTGTTATCTTGTTACAGTGCAGTATTATCCATTCTTTCTCATTAAAAACGATAGTCCCATTTAAGTGTTAACATTTCTTTGAAGCATGCCGTTGGAAAAAAGATACCCCCCCCCCGCCCCGTACAGCCTTAACAGACTGTTGGGGCAAGTGCTGTTAATGAGCACCTATGAAGACCGGCACAGCGCACGAGGCGGTGGGTGGACAGCACCACGCCCCGCCGCCTTTGTCTCCCCCGTGGCGATGTTTACACACCGCACCAGGTTACCCATTTGAGGCTGAGTCGACCTAGGGGAGGCCCAAGATCGGTTCAGATAATCGTGAGCTCGGGTCGCCGGGTTTGTAACGCAGCGCGCTAACCGCTACGCTACCGCTCCCCTGACACACACACACACACATAAATAAACACACACATAAACACACACCTTTCCCCCTCCTGATGCAGACGCCCCGCTACTGTTTGTGCGTGGCTGTCCGCGCGGTGCCCCTGGTGCCATGTGCCGAGGGTCAAGCACTGACCCTGCCGACACGGCGCTCAAGCTCGGGCAGACGACGGTGGACTCCAACCGCCGTCCGCTTCCCGGCTGCGGCTGATGGGCGCTGCTGCTGCTGCTGCTGCTTTTTGTTCCCGTTGCAGAGAGCATGCGGAGGAAAGCCAACGCGGAGAACGACTCCCCTAAGAAGTGCGCCATGACCTGACACGGCGGTTGGGCCGGGGGTCAGCCTCCCGTCTCCTCACCATCCCAACCTCCTCACCACCTCAACCTCCTCACCGTCTCAACCTCCTCACCACCTTAACCTCCTCACCACCTCAACCTCCTCACCATCCCAACCTCCTCACTGTCCCAACCTCCTCCTCATCTCAACCTCCTCACCGTCCCAACCTCCTCCTCATCTCAACCTCCTCACCATCCCAACCTCCTCACCGTCTCAACCTCCTCACTGTCCCAACATCCTCACCATCTCAACCTCCTCACCTCCTCAACCTCCTCACCGTCTCAACCTCCTCACCATCCCAACCTCCTCACCGTCTCAACCTCCTCACCGTCTCAACCTCCTCACTGTCTCAACCTCCTCACCATCTCAACCTCCTCACCATCTCAACCTCCTCACCATCTCAACGTCCTCACCTCCTCAACCTCCTCACCATCTCAACCTCCTCACCATCCCAACCTCCTCACCGTCTCAACCTCCTCACCGTCCCAACCTCCTCACCACCTCAACCTCCTCACCGTCCCAACCCCGGTGGAGCGCCGAGGCGGTGACCGTGGATGGAGGATTCCCCGTGAACGCCGGCGTGGAGCCACGAGGGCGCCGGTGTAATTGTCCCCTCCACCGCGGACCGGCCGGCATCTCACGCCGCCCCGTCCCTCCGCCCGCCGTGGACGGCGCCACTCCAAGCGCTGCCGGGGGGCTCGCGTCCAGCGCCCAGCGGCCAGCGTGGGGCTCTGGCAGCGAGCCGGGACCCCTCTCCCCTTGAGGCTCCGGGGGCCGCGTTTGCCGGTGCCTCCGTTGCATCCTCGTGCCGTTCAGCGCAGGGCCCCCTGGGTTCTTGTCGCGAGGCGCGTGACGACTGTGTCACCGAGTGCGTGCGTGCCCTTGCACTCGCTTGCTGTGCACACGTACACGCACGTACGTACACACGCACGTACACACGCACGTACACACGCACGTACACACGCACACTTCACTGCTTACTCACTAACGCAAGCTAACGCACACGAACAAATGCGCTGTCAAAATGGCAGGCAAAGCCAAGTATCTTGGGCTCACGGTCGCTCAGTTTTACATCAGCGTTTTTTATTGTGGCTCGAGAACGGAAGCCCGGCGTGCAAGCGCAGTCGCGCATTCTCGATCAACTGCTGGATAAAATATTCGTACAACGATGACATCTCCGACTGGGTCAATTGAGGGTACAATTTCACCCGTGTCCTGACATCGTTGCTCCGGATCTTTTCTGATGTGCTGTACGTATGTACGTTGAACTTCTTTCACACCGTACGTAGCCAATTGTGATAACCGGAGTTGCGGGGGAAAGACAACAAACTAAACACAAAAATCAGTTCTAAATAAATTAGTTTTCAATCAAGATGTAAAAGTGCATAGCTCCCAGTGGCTTCCTGATATCGGAAGGAAGAGCATTCCAGACGGCCGCAGAAGCGCATCTGAAAGTGCGCAATGCAGTGACCATCTTTGTTCGATGGCCAGCCCAGAGCTGCTCCAGAATGACCAATGTATGTATGTTGAACTTCTTTCGCACCGTTCAGTAGCCAAACCGTGATAATCGGTGGTGTTGCCGGGTCGTTCCGCGTTTGTCGCCCGGCACGGCGTCCGACGTTTCCGCCGCACGCACTCGGATCTTTTGTCTTTCCTTTTCGGGAACCGAAACGGAGGATGAAGCTTTTACGAAGGACGTGGTTGTGAAACGTCAGTCTTTGTGCGCCGCCGTACCCCTCTGTGGCAGCGCGATATGGAAGGGTGTGGATGCGGATGGAATGTCGGGGTCTCGCCACAGGGCCCCACACACACACACACGTGTGATAGGCAAGTCGTCCTGGTTTTTAAAAACCCGCGCGCCCTGCGTTGGGAGTGGATTTGTTGTGTTTTTCTACCGCTCTCCTGTCCAGCCGATGCATGCCGAGAACCGCCGTTGCCGCCGCCGCTGTTGTTGCTGTTGTTGTTGTCGCGACGGTGACTGTTACAAGTGAGGGCGGTGGCTGTTTTGGTGTAGGATTGCGTGCTGGGCACCGCCTCGCTTTCTTTGGTGTTTTTTGTATGGATTTACAAAACGGTGAGCGAGTGGTCGATGGTTGTGCAGCAATAAAATTGACGTCCGTTGAATGCTTCCATCTGCTGCTGTCGCTGCTGTCGCGTTAACCTCGCGTTGAATTTAAACAACGTAATCAAACACCCCCCCCCCCCCCCAACATGACACAAACGGAGTCGGCTTCAAGTTGATTTTGTTGAACCACGATAAGAACTCGGGAGACCAGAATAGGTTTCTCATTTAATACAAGCGGGACCTGGGTCACCAGAATCGTGGTGGTGGTGGTGCAGCAGCTAGATCGTCTACTGCACCTGAGTTTGACTCCCGGGAGCGAATAACACCTGTGGTGGTGGTGGTGGCTAGGGTCGCCACGTATCCAGCTTTGACGCGGGCACTCCGGGAAGTGGCATCTGCGTTCGGGCGGTGGCAGGATTTTATTTCTGCTGAGAACTGCCTACCGGTCTTGTGTCGAACTTTTATTGGAGTCTGTTGCGCGGCGTTGACAGGCCGAGGCTGACGGATCAATGTGTCCGGCTTCTGGTCGACAGTAGAAGAGGCGTCAACTCGAGTGGAAAGTGCTATCTCAGTCCACCACCACCACCACCTCACCAACCCGCATTGACCAGCATGGTGAAGTATGGTCAACTACTGCCAATTACCGACATTACGTGGGAAAGCCTCTGTCTGGCAACGGGTTGGGAAAGGGCTGTGATTGAGTTGTGATTTATGGGACGTGTACGATGCGAGTGTTGTGTTGCTACTCGTGTTACATTTCAGTATATCTTGAACAACAAAAGCAAATTGACTTTGTTGTATATGCTTAGTTCCTTCCCTCGGGTTTTGCATTTGTCATTCTCTTCCGCCAAACATTTAAATAGCCGTTCTGATTTCTGGCAAGACTGCGCGTGTCATGACCAAGGTGTTATTAGGAACACATCTGCACACACAGTACTACATGTTTAACACGTACGCTTTCGCGACCAATATCCATAATACAGGTTTTTGTTGGGTGAGCTCGCGTAAATATATAAATGTGGCTGTGTCGGGTGGTGGCGGTTTTAACGACACATTTATATATTTACGCGATCTAACCCAAAACAATCCTGCATTATGGAGTTACTACGGATGTTTGCAGAGAGCACACATCATTTGTGCGCAATGGAACCATTACAATCACAATGAAAGGTGCATTGCTTCCAACCTCTTCCGATTCATCCACACATTCTGGGTCTGTCTTCTCCTCCCTCTTCCCAGCTGCAGCAGCGCATGACAATCTGAGGTGCTGGCCGGAGTGCTGACATCTTGAAGGGAGAGGGGCGCGTCCACCCCCCCCCCCCCCCTCATCATCATAGTCGCACCATTACCAAGTTCCCTCCACTCGCTCCCATGATAAATTTAGAGATCATACTCACCATCTTCCAGATTATCATTCTACTCACCCATGCCTACCCCTTCTCATCTCACTCCACTCCCCTCCACGCACTCTCCTACCTCTCCCTCTCATCTCACTCCACTCCCCTCCACGCACTCTCCTACCTCTCCCCTCTCATCTCACTCCACTCCCCTCCACGCACTCTCCTACCTCTCCCCTCTCATCTCACTCCACTCCCCTCCACGCACTCTCCGCTCCAGCAACCGAGGCCTTCTTTGAAAGCCCCGACTCGACCTTCGCTCAGTGGGGGGGTCCCTCGTTCTCCTGTCCTGCCCTCATGCTCGGGCACTCCTCTGCCGCAGCGCCCCGTGTGTATCAACTCCATGCCCCTGTGCAGGCTTAAGAGCATCACCATTCCCTCTTACGAAGACCAATTGCGTCTTTCCCGCAGCAATATAAACGTGCCCGCTGTGTATGCTTGGCGTCTTGCGACGTCTACGCCGCGTACGTACAAATGGCATTGCACGGGTGGATGCCTGGAAATACAGCAGCAAGAGGCAGAACAAAAACTAGGCGCGGATCTCGGAATAACACAAGTAAGGGAGATCATCTGCACTTGGGTGCTACGCGTCGTGGAACTGGATGAAGTGGAGACTGGTGACAGCATAGCAGCCCAGGGAGAGAACACATCTAAAAGGAGAACCACCGTGCAGATGGGAGTCACGAAATTAAGTGAATGTCGCTTTGTAAGATGCACGGCGGCAGCACTGGACCGTAAGGGATGGTCATGTCGTGTGGAGGCCTTCATCTAGCAGTGAATAGACAAATTACTTTTCAATTGCGGTGATGTGTGTGGGAGGAGGTGGAAGGCACTTCTGGGATCTCCCTGTGGGAGCGGCGCGCTGCGCATTGGCAGAGTCTCGATGCACGAGGGACCGCTCCATGCGACGATGCACCAGGGGGTGTGATTCTGCCTGCAGCCGGGCACAGCGGCGGCGCGTTCCATTCTATCGAGATGGAGAGGGGTGGACGGGGGTGGCGTTGAGAGAAGGTGTGCTGCGGTAATTCCCTTCTCGCTGTGTCAGCACGTTCCGCTACGGTGGACGTGCGTCCGCGCGTGCGTGTGCGCGCACACCGGAGCCTCTGCATATTCATTCATTTTTTGTCCCCATTCTCCGGAGTGTGGCCGTGTGAGTTCGCCGCACGCTGCTCCCCCCCCCCTCTTCTCTCACAAATGAGCCAATCACCCGCCCGCCCTTTGCCCCCTCGGTAAGCACCGCTCCGCCTGTTATCTATGCCAGGCTAATTGTCCACGCGCCTTTCACTCCCCCACCGAATGGTACGGTCCGCTCATCCCGTTAGCCGCACCGCACGCACGCACCGTGCCCCGCTAAGCGAGCATCATCGTCTTCATTCGAGCAACAGCAACAACTATTAAAGAGGGTTGGGGGGGGGGAATCCATGGCTTTGAAGAAATTCGATGTTGGACTAAAATGTCGGGAGCGTCTTCGTGGCTTCATAGTGCAGGGTGCTTAAAAAAATGTGAACACTTCCGAGAATTTGCAACAACACCGCGAGAAATGTAATGCTGCCTGCGGGCACTGGAGATCACTTGGAGAAGATTCCAGGCCACGCGTTGGCAACGATGGCGAACAAGCGGGAGACCCTTTGACCTTTTGAAGCTATTAACATTTACATTTGTTGTCACGTGACAGTGTATTATCCGTTCTTGTTCCATTAAAAACGATAGTCCCATTTAAGTATTGACGTTTTTGTTTAACACCATGTACACAACCTGTTCTCTAACACACGGGAACTCTGCGGGTTCGCACATTGTGTGCTCACGTCTAAATTAGGTGGAGAGGGAGGTGGAGAGGGAGGTGGAGAGGGAGGTGGAGGGGGAAATCAACCGGTCGGAGAGGATTTGGACAAACGCACCGCGCGCGCCGCGCTGCTGGTGGCGAGCCGCGTCACAGACGACGTCACAGACGACGTCACAGACGTCACCGACGAGTCCTCGTCATTAAAATTATTTAGACCAATCGAGTAAAAAACTAAAAAAAAATTGCCAGGGGCAAAGCTAAAGGTCATTTTGAGGTCGTGGCTTCGCATTCAGGGCCGGTCGTTAAATCCTCGACGGAGGGGGACTATCGTCGCGGCCGGCCGAATGATTCCCGGCGCCAGAGGCGTGCCACCATCGTGCTTCGTGGTGACACCGCTAGGATGGCTTCCCCGGGGGCGAATTTGACAGCCAACAGAACGATCGCACCTGGCGAGAGGGCATTTTTTTTTTTAGAACAGCAGGACCTCATCATACCATGCGCACGCTTGCCACCACTGTCAATGATGTAAGTGCTGCACTGCCGATTTGAAACCCTTTTGTCGCACACTCCGATGTTCAGAGCTGATCCATCCAGATTTGTATATATACACACCGTGTTGTTTTGCTGGAAGAAAAAAAAACACACACACACACAAGATGCTGACAGTTTTTTGCTCTTGAAATCGGTGCCGCGGTAAGAAGTTGCAAACATCGGCTGTGTTGGCAAGTGTCCACCCGTCTCGACGTCGCTGATAAACAGCTCATTTCGAATGATCGCACCTCCTGGCTCTGACACTCCTCCCCGAAGACACCGGCAGTGGAACCGTCAACCTCATCGGAACATCGGCAGCTGGGCGATGCGCTCCATCGCCTTCACGGAAGGGTTGAAGCAAGCCCGAGTCTGTCGACGAGACCCCGCGTGTCGACACCGGTCCAGAAGTTCCGCTCGTCTTGAAGCGATGCTGCTGAAATGTTGCAGTGGGGCCGACGGGATGTGTGGTGTGAGAAACGCGTTTTTCTGTGTGGACAGACAGAAATATGGGGAGCGGCAGGGTAGCGGTTGGCGCTACGCTGTACTATGAACCTGGCGACCAGGGTTCGATTCGCACTCACGACCAACACCGGTGACGATTATCTGAACCGGTCCGGGGCCTTCCCCTAGGTCGACTCAGCCTCAAATGAGTACCTGGTGCGGTGTGTCAACATCGCCACTGGGGAGACAAAGGCGGTCGGGCGTGGTGGTGGCCACCCACCCCCTCGTGTACCGTTTCGGCCTTCGTAGGTGCTGCTGCTACTCGCAAATAGCACTTGCCTCCAACAGCCTGTTAAGGCTATCCGGGGGATCTTTGTCTTTGTGGACAGACATATACGTGAAGGAGGTGAGCTGTATGCGTGCATATTTTGCTACATATGCGCTCCACTCGGACCCGACATGGTTTGCGTTGTGTAACATCGCCGATGAACTCCGCAGCACGCGAAAGAACGTCCACGACATCCGATGATTTAGCCCGACGGCACCGCGTTGCCCCGTGTGCTGCCGCGGTGCGATCGTTTCAAGCAGGCTGGACGTCGGTTCGATTTCCGGGCACGGCAGTTCAAACAATGGGGAGGGGGGTGGAAACGCCTCTTGAACGCTCCCGGCCTGCTCTCAGTCTAAACGGACACAGCCACCGTTATTGAACCGGTCAGTTTGCGTGCAGTGGGGTAGAGTGCCGCATGGCTCACAGGGCTATACCTAATAAATAAAGTGAAACTGAGTGTGTGGATGCGCCCATCTGTTCGCCTGGCCAGCGTGGAAGGGTAGGCCACGCACACGCCTCGAGGGAGCAGGGGTCGGTATCCCGCGGCTCCAAAAGCCGCTTGCGGCTCTTTAAGGACTGCTGCTTGGCCGTGATTTATCAAGGACCATCGCCGTCTCGTATTCACGTGCATTGCGGCTCTTGAGTTTTTTAGTTTTTTGTACCGAATTCGAAAAAAAATTGGCTCTTCTTGTTATTTAGGTCGCCAAACAACCCCTCTGGAGTCGAGGGAAGGTCCCCCTGTGTCTGCTCCTATTTAGAGGCCCTTTCCCCCAACAGTGGCGCGAACAGGGCGATTGCAGGGCTGCACTTTTACCTTTTTACGCACCGCACTTCCACATCCCCCCCCCCATAGTCCCGTGCGTAATGGCACAGGCCACGCCGGGCGGGAGGGCGCGTGATGCCGGGCTGCGTGTGAATGCGCCGCTGTCGCTTGCTCAGTCCCTCCCGACTGCGGCTCTCTCAGAGCTACGAGCGGAGCCACCACCACCACCACCCCCACGTGGCGTCACCCCCCCACGTCCCACACAGCCCGGTAGAATCAGCCATCTTCTCCCCCATCCCCACCTCCTTCTCGCCCCACCCCCCTCCTCCCTCGGCTTGGCTCGGTGCTACCCCCCTCTCATCCGCACACTCATTGGGCCCCCCTCCCCACGCACACACACCGGTCCCCGCTGCGTCGTCCGATCATCGGTGACAACCCCCTTCTCATTTCTCCCCGAGGAGAGAGGACTACATCGTGGTAGCAGCAGCAGCATCATCATCATCTCTTCGGAGCGCTTCGGATTCACGAGGTGAGTAGATGCATGAGACGTGGCTGGCTGGATGGATGGAGGTGAAATTGCGTGCTGCTGCTGCTGCGTTACTGTGGCCATTATGGGTTCATATATTTACATGGCATGTTCATTCATCGTCGTAATCGCCATCAGCAGCGGCCGAGATCGATCCACTGCTCGATGAAAGCCTCCCCGGGCCCGCCGCCATGATCCCACGATCAACCCCGCGACGTAGCAGCAATTCACACCAGCGCCGCCTGCTCTGCGGCACGAGGGCCCCCACCGCCGCGTTTGAGGGTCCTCTCCGGCGCGCGTCTTCCCCCTGGCTGCTGCTTCGTGACTATCGTCGACCACGCGCGGGACTGAACGTCAAAAGCGGCCGTTAACTCGAGCAACATGCGCTGATGCTGCTGCTGCTGCTGCTGCGGGTCACAGAGGGGTTAAAATATTGCTCTGCGATTTTGCAATGCACGTATCTGTGTATTTATTGACCGCGCTCTTAAACGCTACTCAATAATAACTCTTCTAGGGAAGAAGGAGGAGAGATTATTATTGTTGTTTGTGTTGTTAAGCCCGGTGGGTTTCGGGTAGCCGTGCGCCTCTTTGTTGTTTGCCACGGGGTGAAGTGAGCGCAGGAGGTTCATCTGCCGCTCTCCATCTCGCTCAGCCAACGCATCGCCACCTGGGACCGTGTCCCGTGACCTCCCGCACACTTCACTTGGGTGCGCACTAAACCAAATAAGAAAGGTGGCCACCGAGCCCAGCACAAGCACCGTGGTTGACCGACACCGTCGCTTCGTCGTGGTGAATGGCGGCTAATAGTCGTCGTCGGTGTGAGTTTGTGTGGAGGGGGGGGGGAGCGGTGGTGCAGCGGTTAGCGCTACGCTGCGCTACGAACCCGGCCACCTGAGTTCGATTCCCGCTCAAGACCAACACCGGTGACGATTGTCTGAACCGGTCCTGGGCCTCCCCCTAGGTCGACTCGGCCTCAAATGAGTACCCGGTGCGGTGTCTAAACATCGCCACTGGGGAGACTAAGGCGGTCGGGCGTGGTGCTGGCCACCCACCCCCTCGTGTGCCGTGCCGGCCGTCATAGGTGCTGGCGAGCGGCACTTGCCCCAACAGTCTATTAGGGCTATACGGGGGATCTTTGTTTTTGTTGCTCCCCTCTGATTATGGGCCAAGGAAGGGGACGGTGCCACGTGTGTGCGTGTACGGCCCCCTTTACGCGTGCCACCCCCTTTACGCGTGCCACCCCCTTTACGCGTGCTACCCCCACCAACACCATGGATCGTTAGAAATGGAAACGGCTTGGGACATGCTTTCATCCAGCAGTGGATTTAACGTGACTGGTGATGATATGGTACAGCCCATTATCAATCGACGGCTCGGTGCGAGTCCTGGCAGTTTGGCCATACTTCATCACGCTGGATCAGTGCTGGATGGAGCAGGCGGGCGAGCATAGACGTTGGAGCGTAGTGCAGTACAACAAATGTTGTTGCTGCACTGCTCTTTCCTGCCAGCTACGTAACCCGCCCGGCATGCAGGGTGGTCGCTCATCCAAACACTCTCGGGGCTGCATCCCTGCTTCTCTTACGAGGAGACGCGGGGCACTAAGTGGCGGTTTGCTCATAGGCGTGAAAATAATGAAATCGTATGAATTATATTAAATGGAGAAACTGAACCGCATTTAATATTCTCCACGTGAGTGTGGACGCGGAGGGGGGGGTGGTGCGTGATGGTGGGGGCGGCGGTGGGTGATCATCTGCACACAATGTAACCCGTTTTACCATCCCATTGTTTAAGCAATTGCAGAAATCACGAGGACCGATGCAGATATCTGCCTATCGCATGTGTGCGTGTGTGGACGCGGGGTAGTGTAGCGGTTAGTGCGCTGCGCTACGAATCTGGCGACCCGAGTTCTATTCCCGGCTCACGGCCAACACCAGTGACGATTATTTGAACCGGTCCTGATCTTCCCCTATGTCGACTCAGCCTCAAATGTGTTCCTGGTGCGGCGTGTGAAACATCGTCACTGGGGAGACAAAGGCGGCCGGGCGTGGCGCTGGCCACCCACCCCCTCGTGTGCCGTGCCGGCCTTCATTAGGTGCTCGCGAACAGCATTTGCCACAACAGTCTGTTACATGCTACACGGGGGATCTTTGTCTTTTTGTGTGTGTGTGTGGAAACGTCCTATCGTCTTACGCCAAGTTGTAAACGTGCTTGACATGTCTAATACTGGCGGGCGGACTGCGGGACCCTGCAGCGGGAGCCGCGGCAGTGGGGTCCACGGAGGAGCGTGGCCTCTGGAAGGGGGCTCAAAGCACCGTGTGGCAGATGGCGACGCCTCGCCCGTGCAATCCAGCAGTGGATTGATGATGGCCGATGATATTAATCGGTGCTTACTCACAGCCGCAATGCTCCGGAGGGCTGTCTGTGTGTGGCGCGCGACATCCATCTCGCCTGATTTTGGCCGTAACCGGTTCATATGATTATAGGACCAGAGGGTAACGTCATATAGGATTGTTATGGGTTGGCGTGCCTTGCACTGTAGTTCCTACTCCAAGGCAGGCTGTCAGGGTTCGGAAAAAAATATCGAGCGATAAATGAAGCCCCGATGATGACGACGATTGTCAGGTGACGTTCCCCTGCTGCCACTGACAATCCAGCCACACAAGTGACGTTCTCCTGCCGCCACTGACAATCCAGCCACACAAGTGACGTCTCCTGCCGCCACTAAGAATCCAGCCACACAAGTGACGTCTCCTGCTGCCACTGACAATCCAGCCACACAAGTGACGTCTCCTGCCGCCACTGACAATCCAGCCAGTGACGTTCTCCTGCCGTCACTGACAATCCAGCCACACAAGTGACGTTCTCCTGCCGCCACTGACAATCCAGCCACACAAGTGACGTCTCCTGCCGCCACTAAGAATCCAGCCACACAAGTGACGTCTCCTGCTGCCACTGACAATCCAGCCACACAAGTGACGTCTCCTGCCGCCACTGACAATCCAGCCAGTGACGTTCTCCTGCCGTCACTGACAATCCAGCGACACAAGTGACGTCTCCTGCCGCCACTGACAATCCAGCCACACAAGTGACGTTCTCCTGCCGCCACTGACAATCCAGCCACTCAAGTGACGTTCTCCTGTTGCCACTGACAATCCCGCCACACGGCCACTCCACGCATTTATTGTTTCACCGACTATGTAGTTTTCCTTCTGTGGTTATTTTTTTCAGCTCTGTGGGGGGAGAGGTGGGGGAGGGGAGCTTTGAGATGGGGAGATTGAGGGTGGGGGGCTGGGCTTGGCTTATCCCGCACGAGAGGAATTCCATTGACATCACCAATCCAAGCCGCGCCCGGCACGTGGCTTCTGTCCAATCGCGTCAGACACCGTGTGAGCGCACGCGCCCCACCGATGCTCGGCGCGGTAATGCGAGGGTCAAGGAGCACGGTGCATGGGGAGTGGTGGAGGAGGCATTGAAGACACGAGGAGCAGAGAAGGGCGGGGGCATGGGGGACATGGGGGGCATAGAGGGAAAGAGATGCACTGCAGGGGACACACGGAATAAATAGTAAATGATGAAGACGATCATTATGAAAATAATGATGAGATCGACTTGGGGCGTACGTCATGGAGACAGAGAGGGACGGGGAGGGGGGGGCACGAGGCAGGGAGGTGACATGCCGAGTGATGGGTGCGGGGTATTGGGGCACGTGGTGCGAGTGATGCGTGTGGGGTATTGGGGCACGTGGTGCGAGTGATGGGTGCGAGGTATTGGGGCACGTGGTGCGAGTGACGCGTGCGGGGTATTGGGGCACGTGGTGCGAGTGATGGGTGTGAGGTATTGGGGCACGTGGTGCGAGTGCAGGGTGTGTGGTATTGGGGCACGTGGTGCGAGTGATGGGTGTGTGGTATTGGGGTACGTGGTGCGAGTGCAGGGTGTGGGATATTGGGAAACGTGGTGCGAGTGTTGGGTGTGGGAGGCAACTTCATTCCCTCCAGGAGTCTGGGCTGTCGACTGCCTGCCCTTTGTTCAATCGCAGGCTCGAGGCCCCTACTCTCTCCCCTCTGGCTATAGCTGCCACTTTATACAATATATAAAATGAAAATATAAATATAAAATAAACATTCCCAAACGTTTCCGTGCGGCGCCGTGAGTGAGGTGTGGTCACGTTTGGACGCCCCTCTATACACCCACGTTGCATCGCGTTTGTCAGCTATGTTACGCGGCATCGCTTAGTCAATTAATATTCACGAAGCCATATCGATTATCATTAAGCTCACAATCATAATCATCATCAGCTGTGAACAATACGCTGCTGGACGAAGGGATCCCTAGAGCCGCTGTCACCTTTCACGACCCTGCAATGGAAGAATCCAACTTCGCACCTGAACGCCGGTTGACTCAATCGCTCCATCTCCTCGAAGCACGTGCTCATTATGCACGTATCAAATCGTAAGTTTTAATCATCGACGCTGTTTTATTCATATGTGTTGAATGGATTCACGTGACCACTCCAGCAAATGGAGGCTGCTACTCTTTGACGGCTGCGTTAAACATCGTGATTGATTCTTGACTGATTCTCGAATAGAGACACCCCCCCCCCCCCCCGCCCCCCCCCCGAATCGTGACGATTCATTAAATTGCTACGGACAGAAGCCTCGCAACACACGCAATCGACGCGGCGGCCGTCTTATACATTGGCATTGCGTTTTTTTGCAGAGCAGTGCAACCCACGCGCTGTGCCAACCGAATACTAATCCTGCGTTTCACGAAACGTCGCAGAGAGCGCACTGCCAGCTGAGGAGCGTCACGTCGCGACCCCTCCTCCCCCCCATTGCTGCTGCTGCTCTTCTCACGCAATGCAAAAATTGTTTCCAGCGCATGCAGCGCACGATAATGCGCAGTTGCGCGCATTGACATTTATCAGAAATTACTTCGCCGCACTGAAACAAAGCCTGCACGGCTGATGATGGGATGATGGCGAGGCGGCTCGCACCCCGGGGGCA